AGGGGCCTGACCCCGAGCCCAAGTGGAGGGTTGGCCCTGATGGGAGGAAGGCGCCGGAAGCCGAGATGAGCACAGGCGCAAGTTCGATGGGGAGAAAGCAGCTCTCGCCTGACGGTTTCTATTTTGTCATCAAAATGACCGAAGTGAGGCATCTTATGAGCACGTGAGGGTGTTGGAGGTTCAAGGAGACAGAAAAAGATAAAAAATGGTTTATCTTGGAAGGTGGGAAGCCACCAGATTACGGAAGTAGAGCAGCATTGGTCCAGGGAGGGGGTGGCCTCTGCGGTCCCCTCGCCCTCGCGCCTTCTGGCGCTGTTGACTCTGAGTGGTCTTTTGGGTCCAGGCTGGGCTCTGGAGTATGTTACTTACTAGACACAACCCGGAGCAGCTTTCTTAGCCTGCCTGAGCCTCAGTTTCTTCTGCCGCATCATTGTAATCCTGTTTGCCCTGCCTACGGCATCAAAGGAGACAGCATGAGCCAAAGTCATTCCATTTTTAATAATGCACGCGTGTGTGTGTGTGCGTGTGTGTGTGTGTGTGTGTGATGGGGTGGAGGGTGAATGAAGTGAGGGGGTACCTATTCCTTTGAATACAGAGTTCTCATATACCCACTGTCCCCACACATGCCTCTCCCACTCGCAACCTGGGGCCAGGGAAGCTCCCCCTGAACATAGGGTTCTGCCCCAGACAGCTTTTTCACGGATGTCCCTTCTCAGTCCTTCAACAGCCATGTTGGAAAGCCTAACAGAAAATGGATTCTAGCCCTGGCCGGTTTGGCTCAGCGGTTGGAGCATTGACCTGCGGTCCTGAGAGACCTGGGTTCGGTTCCCGCTAAGGGCATATACCTCGGTTGCAGTTTGTCCCCGGCTCTGGTCAGTCGTGCGGGTGGCGGCCACTCGATGTGTCCCTTTCACATCGATGTTTCTCTCTGTCTCTCTGTTCCTCTCTCTCCCTCCCACTCTACCTGAACAAAAAATGGAAAAATGTCCTCGGGTGAGGATAAAAAAAAAAAAAAAAAATGGATTCTACCATCGCTTTGCTCTGTGGCCTTGAGCGAGACCCTTCATTTTCGCTGGGCGTCAGTCTGCTCTCCAGATAGAGAATGAGGCGAGGGCGTGAACCGGAGAGGAGGAGGAGCTGGGAAGGAGTCGCGTGGCAGCCCTCTGCCCTGGCTCTCTCTCCGCGGGTGGGGTAGATTTCTAGCCCCCACCCCTCCCAAGAGACTCGCAGAAAGACAGTCAGGGATTTGGGGGTTGTCCATTCTCATTGCTGAGGCCTTGAAGGGCCCAAGTGTCGGGACCCTGTACTAGGTACAGTCCTCCCCACTCTCCAGCCTCCTCTAAGCTGTCTTTTGTCTTGGAAACCAATTTTTATGGACTGTAATCAGGGCACCCTCACACTCGGGCTTTGCTGGGGTTTGGCCACTGGGCAGCACTGGCAAGACATCAGAGGATGGATGAGAAAGAAGTGAAAGTGAGACTTTCCTGGTGCGACAGTGGTGGCGTGTTGTGGTTACAACGCTAGCTGGGTGGTCCCTCTCCCTGGGCTCCAGCTCCCACCAGCTTCGTCACAGAGTTCCCTCCCGTTGTCCCCTTAGGACCTCACAGCTCTTGTGAATTCCCTTGCCCCACACACACCTTTGTAAATAGTCTCATTAACACCCTTCAGCAGTCCTTTGAATGTGCCTTCACCTTCCTGCCACGCCTGACCCGTACAGACTCTGTGTACCTCTCTTGCTACTTTCAGAAATGACATCCTAACCAATCTCAGCTGAAAAAGGTGCATCCAGACCTAAAGACCACTTCTCTGTGGCTGGGCATTTGCCTTCCAGCTCCACACCTCTTTGATCCTCATTGCAAATGAGTAAGTGGCAAGTCACTTAATGCTCTGCTACTGTCTGACATATTCCACCCAACGTGATTCTATTGCTCATAATTATCTATATTTGTGTATAAGCTCTCTCTCACCACCTACCTCCTTTTCAGTTCACGGGCTCCCAGATCCCCTCTTATATCATGTACAAGGCCTGCAGGAATCACAAGTGGGAGAGTCAGCAGGGCTCCTTCTACCTCAGCCTCATCTGTAAGAAGGAGATAATAATCCCACCAACTTCATAGAGTCCGTGGGAGGATTAAATGGGTGTTATCTGTAAGTGCTTAGAACAGCAGGTGCAAAGTATTGGCTAATACTATTATTATTCTGTTTGGATTAATCTTGGCTCGCTTCCCTACAGCTTGTATGTAGGAAGAGGAACAGGGGCCCTGGGTAGGTAATCCTAAATCCCCCAACTTTCAATGCTTTCCTCTCTAAACCCCATTCCTGAGAAGATTTCCTTCTCTGCCATCTTTTCATCCCAAGAAGCTTCTGGAAGGGCAAGCAGGGCAAGTTGTGATTATTCCTATAGTTTCTGCTCTCCGTTTTAGGTTGGCAGTTTTCAAAGGGTGGCCTGGGGAACCCCAGGGTTCCCAAGAAGCCTCCTAGAGAGTGGGTGTTGCTCTAGGTCACACCTTCAGTTTGCTTCCACCTGTGTAAGCTTCCTTTCATGATTCTGTTGAAACAAAAGCTTCCAAGACTTTAAAAAGTTGAACATCCCTGCTCTGAGATACTGGAACCCCTCTTTTATAACTCTCAGTTATGACTTATTTGGCCTCATTGCCAAGCAACTATCTCTAATATATTCAAACAGTTTGTATTCTTCTCCACGGCTGACACTCTGGAACAGATATGTGAACAAGCACATCTTTGTGTGCTCATCTGGGGTGTCTTTCCCAGGCTGGCATGCTCAGCAGACACTGTCTCCTTAATCAGCAGGCCCCGGGGAAGAGAACTACTAGGCCGTTGAACAATGGAGACGCTGGAAGGCGCTTGACTGTTACCGGCACCTGATGCAGTCGCTGGACTCCTTCCAGGCCCTGAACCCAAGGTTACTAGAAGATCATCTATTCTGATGACCTGGGCCAGGCCTGGCCTCAGTGGCTACCCAGTATCTGGAGTTGGCTGGGGGAGTTGAGGAGATACTAACACTCTGACCAGTCAACATGTAACTTCTTTGTGCAGTTCAAGACTGCACACAGAGAACATGAGCAGATGAAGGAAGCAAAAGCCCAACCTCCAGATCTCTCCCTTGAATGCCCTTATCCCAGGCTGCCACAAGGCTTTCTCCCATACTGCACTGGGGCCTTTGGCTCAAATGTAACCGCGTTAGAACTGGGGCAAGAACCTTAGGTTCTGAGCTCTCTGGCCATTCTCCAGCCATGCCCCTTTTCACAGAGCGAGAAACCCATAGGCCAAGGAGATGTGCTCATTCATCCAAAGCCCCTGCCCTTCACTTCTTCTCGGATCATACTGTGGTTCCCCAAACCCTAGAACTCACTGGCCCAGAGGTGCCAGGCCAGCTTCCAGAGACTGCATCAGCTTTTTCACAAGGTCTATCCTCTTGAGGAGCCAAGGAGTAGCTATTTGCAGGAGGTGTGGATGGATCTCAGATGTGCAGACAGGGATGTTACAGATGCGGGCACAAGACCCCTTGAAATATGGGAGAGAGCTGGAGTGCAAAGAGTAGTAGAAAGACCACGGGACAGGGACCAGTTACCGCCTAAGTTGCCCCCTTCCAGTGAACATCTTGGGGGAGTCCAAGAATTCTAAACTTAAAATTTGCTCTTCCAGAGTATTATGAAAGTATCCTTGTCAAGATGAAAAGATAGGAATTTTACGTAAGGATTTAACTTGATATGGGGGCCTCCATTTGTACTATTCACTCTGACCCTGCAAATATTAGGGGCCAAAAAAGTAGCACTACCTCCGTCTCTCTGTTCTTACCCTATTGTATATTTCTTTACAGCATTTGTCACCATCAGACCTACACTTAGTACTTGTGTGTCACCTCTTTATCCCTATCCCCATGTCCCCACCAGAAGGTAAGTTCCATGTCTGTAGAGTTTTGGTTTTGTTTACTGCCTCACTCTTAGCACCTGGGCAGCGCCTGGCACAAAGAAACCGCACAGTAAATGTTGAATGAGTCAAGAATCTGGTCTCAGATGGCTCACAGGCCAGGTGGACTAACCCAGCAAAGAAAAAGGAAAAAGATCATTTGTGACAGCTAAGTCTCTAAGGAGCGCTTTCTCCCTTTGAAATAACTCGTATGAGAGCTACAAAAGGTGAGCAGGGAAAATTAACCATTCACACCTTAGTACACATGAACGCAAGATTAGCTATCAGGGTACTTGTGAGAGGGACATTTAAGTGAGTATGGAGAGCTGCGCGTAGACTGGAGAGTTAGATGTGGGGGACCTGGGCTGCTGGGAGCCCCAAAGGGAGTTCTTGCCCTTACAAACTTACGAGGGTGGCCAGACCCGGGTGCGGAGGAACCCTGATTCCGCTGCGATGGCCGATGGCCGCGCCAGTCCAGCCCAGCACAAAGTGGGGAGGCAGCTTCTCGTCCATGGTTAGGAATCCCTCACATAATGTCACGGGCCTCATGGGGTGAGGTCACATTTGATCTCTGTGGGAGTCATGATGGTCATCGACGCAGAGGCTGTCGGTCCATCGGTCCGTCTTCTCTCCACTTGCTTATCGCTTATTCCAACTCATTTTCGGTTGGATACGAGGCGCGTGAGAAGCCAACTGATCTCCCCCAGTCCCCAGCTGCTAAAGGAAGTCTGGTCCGTGTCTCTGCCCCGCGGAGGCCCCACTCCTTCCATTTGGGGGTGTGGGCTCCAGGGCCTGGGCCGCGCTCCCCGCCTCCTGGGGTCGCAGGCCCGACAGCGCCAGCGCGGCTCTGAGACTTGGGTAAACCGTGAAGGGGGCGCTCACGGGCCAGCCTGGGCTCGGGCTCGCAGGTCCGGCCCCGCCCGCTCCCCGGCCCACTGGCCAGCCGGCGGGGCGGGGCCAGGGGCGGGGCCGCGCGGCTCCTCCTACCGGACGGAGCAGGAGGGGCGGCGGCGCCAGCGCGCACCAACTCATCCGAAACTTGAGCGCAGTGGTGGGCGCAGCCGCGGAGGATGGCGTGGTGCAGCCGCTGCTCAGGGCCACCGCCGTCGCTGCTGCTGCTGCTGCTGCTGCCGCTGCTGGCGGTGCCCGGCGCCGGCGCAGCCCCGCGCTCGGCGCTCTACTCGCCGGCCGACCCGCTGACGCTGCTGCAGGCGGACGTGGTGCGCGGCTCTGTGCTGAACTCCCGCAGCGCTTGGGCCGTGGAGTTCTTCGCCTCCTGGTGCGGCCACTGCATCGCCTTCGCCCCGACGTGGAAGGCGCTGGCCAACGACGTCAAGGGTGAGAAGCGGGGGCAGGGGGGCAGGCCCGCGGCCCGCGCCCCCCGGCCCAGCACCTCCGCGCTCCTCTTCCTCTCTGCCGCTCCCACTCCCCCAGTTTCACATCCCTCCGCTCCGTTTTTGCGCTCTTCCCTGTCTGCCTCGCCCCTGGCCCCTGGCTCGCGCTTCCCTCCCCTCCTCGCGGCCTGGGCCCCCAGACCGGCTCTGCTTTCCTTTCCGGTCCCGTGCCGGCTTACTGCCCCCATCCCTGCGACGGGGCCTCCTTTGTTCCATCTCGCTGACACCTTTCTCTAGTCCAGCCGTGTGGCAGTCCTCTTGCTCAGGGACCGTCTTGTCGCCTTCCTGCCAGGTTCCCCAGCTGCTGTGGGGTCGGTGCCGGGGAGAACAGGAACTGACACCATTCTGCCCCCCACCCAGCTTTCCTGACTCCCAAGGCCAGTTGACCAGCTGGCCTGCAGATGCCCTTTCTCAGCTTTACCTTTGAGGCAGAGTTTTCCTGTCTCGGTTCCAGGCCTCTCCGACTTGTTGCCTCGGCTCCTTAGCTTCTGGACGTCCTTCTGTCTTCCCCTGGCCCACGCACCCTCGCAGGCCCTTCTGTTAAACCTCGTGGACCCAGAGACCTGACTGAAGGCAGCCTGTTAGTGTGTGTCTGGCCCTTGCTCCGCGTCCCCATGCACGGGCCCGACCACTCTAACCATATGGTTGTGATTCTAAGAGCCCTCTCAATTGCGAGACACGCCATTCGTTTACCAGCAGCCTGTTACAATGTTTGAACACTTAAGATTTGGAGCTGAGGAAATGCGGTAATAATAGTAATTGGTAATAATAGTAATTCATATTTACTGAGTGCTTACTGTGTGTCAGTTCCTAAGTGCGTGACATAAGTTGTTTCAGAGTTTCTGCAATTGAAAGACCCCTGTGGTGTCACACATCCTCCTAGGCCAGGTGGTGGGTATTTTGGGGGCAGGAGGGGCATGATGGTAGAGATTCGCTTCTAATTTGCTGCCTCTGAATGGAGCCACTTCCTGATTGTGTACTAGGGCCTAATGGGCTCCTGATCTGAAATGGTCACTAAATGAGAACTATGGGCAACTTAGGAAGTAGGTCTCTTCTTTGGGGAGAGAATTAGAACCTCTGCTGTGCCATCGGTATTGTTTTATAAACTCAACTGTTTGTGGTCGAGTAGATCATTTGTAGATGTTGGTTTTCAAACTCAGGCTACCTCTTCCCTTGAGTAGCTTGTACAGTGGTTATTACAGAAACCGTATGGTCCAGGAAAGTTATTTTTAAATGAAAGGAATAAACCATTTTACCTCCAATTTACATGTAGACACTTGTCTGCATGCCTCTCTGGTCCCATCACCTGAATCTGCCATTTCTCAGCAGCTCTTCACACTATTTCAGTGATGTCAACACATCTGATCAAGGCAGGAGGGAGGAAGAATGTTGACCGTGGAGCTGGAACACCTTAGGGGACATCAGGTGTTTAGGAGACTTTGTGGGCCTGAACATCATACAGATCCCAAGATCAGTTTCCACTTTGAGGCTATAAGAGGTCTTTAGTGGTCACAGATGGACTCAACCTAGAAAATTCTTACGTCTTTAGAGTGCTTAGCTTCCAGCTGACTCATTTGTTTGGCCTCTTGCAACCCAGGGTTTTACATTGAATTGCACAGCCAGGTACTAACCCAGCCTACTTCTTGATGAGGGTTTCCACTTCCAAAAGGGGTCTTAACCCAGGACAGCCCCTTTTTAAAAAAAGCAAAAGCAAAACATAGCCTTAGAAAGAAAAATGGGAGCATTGAAATCTGTAGAGGTGAGAGATTTAGGTGGAAAGTGGGGGTCTCCCATGAGCAGTGGGGGTGAGTCAACCCCCTAAGCAAGATCATGTCCTGGAGGGCACTGGCCAAACCTGCAGCGGTGAAGAATGCTCCCATTCCAATCCAAGGGGCTGATGCCCAGCTGAGAAGCCAGGTTGCTCTCCCATCCTCGTTCTGAGGTTCCTTGAGAAAGTTTGGTTGTGGGCCAGCAAAGGGCCACTATCACACCTCCCTGGGCCACGAGAGTGTGGCCCCGGCCCCTGCCAACGGCATGAGTGTCTTGGGTAAGAGCAGCAAGATTATGGAAGTTTGTGGGGAGAGAGAACTTTACAACCCTGCCCAGCTGGCCTCAGGCATTTCATCGGACTGGCTAGGGCTCATTTCTTAAGGGACTTGTGGGGTAGGTTCTCTGGGGCATTGGTTGCCATGGGGCAGAGCACTTGTTTCTAAGGACCTGGCTCACCTCTTTCTAGTCCAGAGCATCTCTTATTTGCCTCACCGTATGTTTGGGAAATCGACTGTGTTCATTTCAGACCTTCATTACTCTTCACCAGCTAATCAATCAGCAAATATTTGTTGAATGACCTCTGTGTGCAAAGCATTGTTTGCATTGCAGTTGTGGGAAAAGAGCTACACACGCAGGGAAATTGGCTCCAGGAAGAAACTGTTTGAAAAGAACCAAAAGCTGCTCAGTCATTTCTTTCTATTACAAAAAAAAAATGTTTTTAATACTCACCTACAGACATTTTTTAAAAAATTTTTATTTTAGAGGGAGAGGGAGAGAGAGAAACATCGATGATTGCCTCCTGTATGCACCCTGACTGGGGATCAAACCTGCAACCTGGATATGGGCTCTGACTGGGAATCGAACCCACAGCATTTCAGTGTACAAGACAACAACCAGCGGAGCTGCGGGTGCTCGGTCATTTCCTGTTGCGGGAATTCAGGGAAGGGGAAAGTCACAGGCGGCATCTGGTCACCAGAGGCTTTCATTCAAGCAGTTAAGTTTTACATACTTGCCTAATGCCAGGCACTTTGTTAAGGGCCTTTACAGGCCACTTATATATAATCTTTATGGGAAAATATTTGAGCAATAGATACTGTCTCTTTTTTTTTCCACGGAATTAACTTGCCCAGGATTACATAGATGCTGGAGGAAGTCCCTGAACCCAGCTCTTCATGGCTTTCAAGAGCCCGGGCAGGTGGAGAGGGGGTGGAGGAAGAAGGGAACGCCAGGTGGGATGCGGCCTGTGCAGAGCCACGGGGATGAGATTTGTAAGGCACCCATGTCTGAGTGATGGTGAGCAGTGTTGGTTTCCCTCCCTTTCTCTTCCAGGACACAGACCAGCCCTCCCCTTATACCCCTGCGATGCCTAGTGCAGAGCCTGGCACGGGGTAGGAGCCCACTAACACTCATGCAGGCCAGTGGCATGAGCCTCACTGGACTCATATGAATGTGAGTGACTGAGCCTTCTGCTGGTGCTGTGGTCCTCTTGACTCAGACCTGGGGTGTCAGCCAGGCGTGAGGGCTAGGGAAGGTATTTTCTTCATCCTGTGACCTCACTGCCCATGAGCCTGCAGCAAGGAGGAAGGGACAAGGTGGTGACCTCATAGTACTAGCTAACTCCCTGTGTCAGGACAATTTCCAGACACTGGTGGGTTCTAGTTCTGACCACTCAACCTGGTAGGCTCGTGGTGGGTCTGGCCTCTGCTTAACACCCCCAGGCCTCACGGCCGTTTTCCTTGCCAGGTGTTTGCCATGTAGCATCTGCATGGTTGTCAGAGCTGGAAGGGATGAGAGAATGTCCACCCCGGCCTTTGTTTGACCCAGGAGGAAACGGGCCTGGAGAGGGGACGTGTGCTGTCCCTGAGGCTCTGCCAGTGACAGCTATAAGCAAGTCTTGTGACTCTGGGTTCATTGTCCCTTCCCGGAATTGTGAGTTGGGGTGGGGATGCTGCCTGGGACTCCAGAGGTAGCCCATCACCCCCTTACCACAGGGTGTCCTCTCAGCCACCATCCCAAAGTCCACAGCGGTCCTGGACACACCTGCCTCCCCACCCGCCCCCTCTGCATTTGCTCGTTTACGGCTGCCGGTAGAGAAATTACTTTACAAGGCAGCAATTGCACCAGGACATTTTTTTCTCCCCTAGAGCAGGGCTGGACTGATACTGCCGATCTTGTGATGTTAGGCCGGCAGGTGCTGGTGCTCATGTCACCTGACACTTTAAAAAGCCTCTCTCCCCGGGTTCTGTTCCCGACAGCGCACACTCTGCTTTGCCCTGGAGTGCCCAGATAAGGCCCCTATTCCCGTTCTGTTACTAGAGTGATGAATAGTCAGGCCCACAGTGATTCGCGCAGACCAGATCTGTATGTCATTGTGGCTCATTAAGGTATTACATTGATATTCCTGAGAAACATTCCTCAGCCAGGACTCTCCCTCTGCCTCCCCCTGGGCCTGGGGCCACTGCGTAGAGATACAGGAGTCAGGCTTCAAGGGAAGGGGGCAGAGCCCGCCCAGGAGCCAAGGGGCTGGGCGCTCCAGGTATCGCCTTCCTTAGGACCAGCACCCACCCTCCCCGAGTCTCCTGGGAGGGAAGCCGACAGCAGCTCTCTGTTCTGTCCTGGGCCCTCTTGAGACCAGCAGAGGGGCTCACGTTCTGGGTTCAGGTCCCAGATTCACCACTGACTGGTTGTGTGCCTTGGGCACGCTTTTCGAATCTCTGTTTGCAGTTGAGGGAAGCAGGTCTCGAAATGAGCACCTTACTTTCCTTATAGGGTAGTTGGGAGCATTACACTCCATCAGTAAGGCACCGATGAGCCCCTGGGCATATAATATTATCCTCATCCAAGTAGGAGGTGTCTGTGACATTGACCGTGTGAGTTACGGAGAACGGTATGGATCCCGACCAAGCTGTTTCTACCGCTCTCTCTCTCCTGGAGGTTGTGATTGAGCGAACAGCAAAAACATGAAGGTAGTGAGCGTCCTGGTCCTGGCCAGGTGAGCATGGGAGCCTAGGACAGCTGGGAGGCCTCTCCGTCCCTGTCCTTGTTTGTGAAGCAGGGAATTGACGGCCACCTCCAGTGGGATCACCTGGAGTGTCCCCTGGCTGATCACTGAACGCCAGCTTTCTCTTCTCTCCCCTCCTGAGTCTTCGTGCCCCCGTGGGCAGCGGGCACTGGCTCTGGCCCGTGGGACGGTGACCGCGTTCTTGCAGAGGAGCACAGCGGGTGAGGCCTGCGGTCCTTGGTCGCCCTGCTGGGCCCTCACTGGTGGAAGGATGCAGAATCGCCTCTCCTCTGCCCTGTGTCTGACTGACTTGCTGCCTCTTTTGAAAACAGCTGGGCCTCTTCTGTGGGTCTCCGAACAAGGTGACCGGAGCATTAGATGCACAACCGAAGGGGCCAAGCCTCTTGTATGCCAGCTGGCCTAGGGGTGACCTGCGCTTCCTACCCTCCCCGGGCCTCTCTTGGGCAGGGGCTTGGGGAAATGACAGGGTAGGATGTGGCCAGCCTGTCTCTGATAAACACTTGTATCCCCCCCCCCCCCACCCCGACTGCCTCCCTCCAGGAGTCAGGAGTTCAGTGCCAAGGGGATTGCCAGCAAGAAAGGAAGGCAGGGGAGGGTTGAGGGTCCAGAAGGGAGAGGGTGTCGCTGTAGGCCAGCCTCAGCTGCTGTGAGTCTTTCCTTTGAGGGATGGATCAGGGGTTGTCTGGGTGGACTCCTGCCTCTTCCTGCCTGTCTTGTGGAAGTGAGGGTAACACTCCTTCCTTGCGTATAAAATGTTCTTGGTTGCTCCGATGCCTTCTGAAAGATTTTTCAGACATCGTAGGGAGCGGGTTCAGGGAGAGGTAAGAGGTCCTGGCATGATTCTCAGGGATGTTATTCAGACATTAGTGTTCTGTAATTAATGGGTGCTGGGCCCTCCACCCCCGCCCCACCTTGTACTCTAGATGAGAGGGGTAGGACCCCATGGGGGGCACTAGTGCCACCAGGCAGGCTTCCTCCTTCACTCATCTGCTCAGAAAGCCCAGGGGGCTCCAGGGTGCGGTGGCAGTCAGCCCCCACCCCCAGGCGAGGGCTCCCTCCGGCCCCAGCCCCTCCCAGCAGGGCCTGCGCTCAGCCGTCTGGTCTCCGCAGAGCCCCCAGCCGGCCGCCTCCCGAGTTGCTCGAAGTTCCCCGAAACTCGCCTGGCTGCCAGGGTTCCGCTCAGTTCCCGCCTCTCCTGCCAGGCCCATGCTTCGTCCCCAGGGCTGGTCTCCTGTGTCCAGACTCCTTTGGAGCTCTACCAGAGGGCGTGGCCCCAGCCACCTCACCCTCCCGTGGCTTCAGGTGTGTGTATCTTGCCTTCCAGCTGGAGCAGCCTCATAGTAACGTGGAACTTTGATGGGTGTTTAAGGGGCACCTTGACCTTGAATTGCAGCTCGGGAGGCCTGCTGGGTAGATGAGTTTGTTTTCTGGTTCCCAGGCCCTGGGCTGTGGCCCAGAACGGTGCCATTATTTCCTCTGCTGATAAGTTACGGAGGACTTGAGCCTGGGGCCTGATGCTGGGCAGCTGTTAATCTCCTAGACGCGGGCCTCTGCGCGTTTTCCCTGTGTTCCTCCACCCCACGTGCCTTCCCCTTCCTCCCAGGACTTCCTGCCTCCACTGCTGGCCGGGGCGCCGATCCCCGCGCCGTGTCCCACCCGCCCGCGCCGGGCCCAGGGCCAGTTCCGCCGCTGCAGACACTTTCACTGGGGGTCCCCAGGGAAATTCCAGACTTCCGGAGGATGTTCTCTGGCCTGGAACTGGCCTCTCCAGCGGGCAGCAGGGACAGGCAGAGTCGGACCTCTTCCCGGAAGGCCATCTCTGCCCCCCCAACACCCCCGCCAAGTGGCTGGGAACCCAGATGCCATTACAAGACAGCATTCTTGTGCTATTTAACTGTGTCCAAAGCACAATAAATACAGAATAGCCAGACTTTATCCGAGATCCTTTTCTGAGGAAGGGGAGACCTTTCTCATAAGAGCTTTGGGGATGGTGTGGTGGGGATTGGTGGGGGTATTGCGTGGGGGAAGGGGAGCAGGCAGGGGTGCCGGCCCATCTTTACGTGGGTGTTCCTGTCCTTTCAGATTGGAAGCCGGCGCTGAACCTCGCTGCCCTGGACTGTGCTGATGAGACCAACAGTGCAGTCTGCAGAGACTTCAACATCCCTGGCTTCCCAACTGTGAGGGTGCGTGATGAGGAGTGGGGAGTGGGCTGGGGCCGGGCGGAGCATCCCGCCAGCTGCTGCATGTCTGCCTGGCTCTGTGGGCTTCTCTGATGTCCCTGGTGTGTTTAAATCCCATCCCCGGAGGACTGTCCCTTTGCTCACTGAGACAGCGGTCATAGAGGCAGAAATGGATGTGTGTTGGGAGGCAGAAGAGAAAGAGGTTCACTCAGTCTGCTATTTAAATTCTCCACTTTATAAGGGAAGGGGGCCATGTGTAGGTGTGTTGGGGTGGACGATTTCAGCTGTGGAGACATCACCACCTGGGCTGGGGAGCTCCCCGCTCCAGGGGTCTCTCCCCAATTCCTCTCCCTCCTGACCGCCTAGCTCTGGAGGTCTGACCTAACCCTGTAAAACCAAGGTCCTGGCTCTGGCTCGTATGTGGCAGGATCAGACTCAGGTGGCCCAGTGGTCCCCCAGAAAAGGACCCCAGAGACACAGGCAAGCCTCCTCCTCCTCGGGCAAGTGCCTTGAACCCTAGTAGCTCAGAAGCGACTCGTAGCCTCACCTCACGGTCACGATGCCAAAGTGCCCCAGGTGGCAGGGATCCCCATCCCGTCACAGGAGGCTGGCGGCACACCCAGCACATGAGGGCTCTGTCACCGTCACTACAGCTCTCGCCCGCCAGCCTGCCCACCACAGGGCATGGACAGCTTCATTAGCGTCCGAGCGATGTCCACGGCTCTGTGGGAGGCCTGCAGGCCCAGCACAGCGCAGCTGTCCGGATCTACTCAGCACCCTCCCAGGCCTCAGGCCGAGCCTCCCGCCTGAGCCTCTGTCTCTCCAGCCCCCTCTGAATAATTGGCCGCCTCCAAAATGGCATCTAGAAGAGCAGTTGCTTCTTTTTTTTTTTTTTTATCATCCTCACCCGAGGACATTTTTCCATTTTTTGTTCAGATAGAGGGAGAGGAAGAGAGAGAGAGAGAAACATCGATGTGAAAGGGACACATCGAGTGGCTGCCACCCGCACAACCAACCAGGGCCGGGGACAAACTGCAACCGAGGTACGTGCCCTTAGCGGGAACCGAACCCGGGTCCCTCCGGATCGCAGGCCGATGCTCTAACCGCTGAGCCAAACTGGCCAGGGCAAGCAGTTGCTTCTACAGCCACTAATAATAATCACGAAATGCCTTTGAAAGCTGACAGGCCACGCGCTGCCCTGGAACACGCTCTCTCTGAGCTCAGGGCAGAACCAGTTCCAGGTGGAACCGTGAGCGGTGGCTCAGCCTACTCTCTCCGAGAATTCGTCCTGAGAGCCAGGCCCGGCTCCCACAGTGGCCAGCTCTGCCTCCTCGTGCCCGCTCCGTGCCTCACACCCAGGGAAGTGCTGCTGGGTCAGGAGTTCCCAGCCCGGCCCCTAGGGCCCCTTCCACCTGCTGTTACCACTCGGGCAGGGCTCAGGCCCCTGTCAGTCAGCCGAGGCCAGGCCGGTCCGGGAACAGCCCAGGGAGCACACAGCTCCGGCCTTCACTTAGAGGTGGCAGCAGAGAGACTAGAAATCACCCCTTTCAAGTTAAAAGACCTCCCTGGCAGGGCCATGCCCTACCCTTGGCCCCAAGATACAGAACTGAAAGTATTTAAAGTTATCCACAGGGAGAGGCCGGGGCCTCTGTCCCCTTTGCTGAGCCAGGGGCAGCGCCCTGAGTGGGAGCTGTGGACAAAGCACTGTGGCAGCAGGGAGCCCTTGTTCACAGGCTGTTTTCTCCCAGCGTTGGGGTCCAGCCACTGCCCAGCTGGGGCAGGGATTGGCACTGGTACCGTGGCCAGGTCAGGACCTCCTGTGGGGCTTTCTGTCTGCCTGGGAGAGGCTGGGGCTCAGTGGGTGTGGCGGAGGCGGCCAGGCAGTCGGGGTGTCTGGCAGCTCCTTGGTGCCTGCCCAGGTCACGCAGCACACGCAGCACCACAGCCCGAATACCTCGAGGGATTAATCATCTCCTTAACCGCCCAGCTCGCTGTGTCAGCCCCGGCCCTGACCTTCCCCTGCCTCCACACGGGCAGCGCCAGGTGGCCTGGCCAGTCGTCATCTGTCCATTTCCTAAGAGCCCCAGAAACGGTGGTGTAACCTCCCTGCCTCTTCCGAGCATCCTGCAGGCCAGTTTCGGCAAGGAGAGCACGTGGTGCCCTGTCTCAGGACCCAGCCTGGGTGCAGGGTGCAGGGTGCAGGTGGTCCAGCTCCTGGCGGGTCTCTGCTCTGAGGACCTAGGCAGACGCTTTCAGACATTGTGAGTGTGACCTGCAGTAAGGAGTCACATCGACAGTGACATCCAGAAGGTTTCTGTCATCACCAAAACAAATGTTTTGGAAAACAGTCCTCTTACTAAGTGCTATACACACTGATGTTCTTTATTTTTTAAAAATACTGTGACTCACTGAATTGATTTTACATCTGACTACTAGATCGCTTCTAGTGTTTGGAAAACCCTGCTCTGACAGGTTCCCGACCTGTGCAGATTCGGGCGGTGTGCCTGTGCGCCCTAGAAGGAGGCGCAGACCCCAGATGTCGGCCAGGCTGCTGGATGGCCAGATACAGCCCCGTTGCCCTGCCTGCTGCCCTCTGGGGCTGGAGCCTGTCCTCATCCCAGCCTTCTACAGTGAGGACACAGGTTGAATAGGGAAAGAGAGAGTTGCTGGTTATGGGGACAGGCCCACACAAGAGTCTGGCCACCCCCAGCGGCATATGTCATTGTCTCTGTCCTCTGCCTCCTGCCCTTTGCTACCCTGAGCAAACAGCGAGCTTCACCAGCCCAGCCTGTTCAGCAAACACCTGAGCAGGGCGGGCCGGCTGTGTCAGGACCCATCAGACTGGAGCTGGGACCCAGCTGGGAGAAAACAAAAGTGCAGGGAGGGACAGTTTGCAGCTCATGCTGGGCGGTGCTGGGGACCTGGAGGCTGGAACTTCAGGGGGGAAGGGCTTTGCCTTGGGCCACTGGGGTGCCCCTCAACCGGTAATGAATGTGGACTGGCCGCAGGCCTGGCTGGGATCGAGGTTATAGGGACCAGCAGCGTTGGGGTGGGAGAGGACGCAAGTCTCCCCTTTGGAAGATTCGGAGGAGACAGTTAGCGTGGGTTCAGATCTGGGCTCCGCTGCTTCCTGTATGCGACTTGGGAAATCCCTTAATACTCCTCAGCCACGGGCCTCAGTTTCCCTGTCAGTAAAAGTGGGGTGCTCATATCGACCTAATGGGATTGTTGCCCAGTATGAAACGAGGTCTCACACGTGAAGGTGCTGGGACACTGGTCTCACTCGGTGTTCACTGAATGTCGGTTGTCTGCCATCCCATTGCCCGGGGCTCGTGAGGGCTCCTCTGGCCATCATGTGGGTCCGGCACGGGAGGCAGTCTGTCTAGCAGCAGCTGTCGCGTGGATGTTTGCTGAGTGGATGTGTGCCCACTGTTATGGGAGAGGCCAGACATGTGAGAGGTGGCCCGGGCCCGGGAGAGGCCGGACAGGGGGTCCTGTGCACAGGGACCCAGGGCTCACCAGCTAGCTCACAGGCAGTGCGTGCCCCGGACGCAGTGAATGCCGGGCCTTTGCTGGCTCCCTGGCTCCGTCCCTCGAGTCCGGGAGAGGATTCACGTAGGAGGGAACTTCTGCTTGCGCTGAAGGGCAGAGGAGGTTTGGCTAGGAGAAAGGGGGAGTGGGCAGGGCGGAGGAGAGCCAGGGCCCTGGGCGCGGAGAAGACTGGTCTGGCCGGAGCACAGGCTTCAGTGCAGGGCTGCGGTCCTGCGGGGAGGGGGGCCCAGTAATGGCAGGTCCTTGCGTACAAGGCTGGGTGTGCGGGCCCCCGGGGGACACACAATCTGGGCCCTTACCTTCTGTGGCTCTTGCTAGAGGGTGAGATGTCAGGGAAGGGGACAGGACTCAGGAAGACGTCACCGGTGCCTCTCTGGGAAGAGGAAGCGAGCCCCTCACCGCCGTCCCTGCCCGGCCGCTGTCTCCTCCATTGACTGTCCACAGCGTGGGTGGGTGGGTAGGTGGCAGACCCTTGCGGGCTCACCGTAAGATCTTTGGAGACCGGATTATTTTTCTCAAAACTGGTTCTAAGAGCTTGGATTCTGTGCCCCTGGTGGCCACCACTGAAGTGTGCTTGCTGTCAGCCTTTTGGCCCCCAGAGGCACCGCGCCTGGTCAGGTTGGTAAAACTGCCTGACGCCGGCTGCTCTCCTGCCTTTGGGGAGACCCGGAGGTTTCCGGGGGCTCCAAGGCTGAGGAAGACGCAGTCCTGCGGAAAGTGCGGAAAGAAAGGGACGGGTGCGGACTGCCCGGGAGAAGAGAACACTCGCCGCTGGAGCCCTAATGGCCTGTTTCCTCCGCGTGGTGGTTCCCTCGGGGAGGGCGCACGCCTCCCACAGCTGACTTAATAGGAGGACAAAAATGTGCCCTGACCAGATTTTACTGTGATTTTACATGAGCCTCCGAGACGATCAAAGGGCAGAGATTCTGTTTAACTGAGCTGATGAGTTTGGAGTAGTCCCACGTCCCAGACACTGCCCGGCACCGTGGGCTGGAGGAGACGAACAAGCCGTAGACGGTCCTGCCTGCCCAGGCAGGGGGGCAGGCAGGTGCATGGCAAGGTTGGGGTGAAGTCCCTGGTAGCTGGAGTGTAGGGCATGGGAGGTCAGACCCCAGAAAGCCTCGCATGGAGTGAGCTTGGGCAGTACTCGCTGGCAGGAGGCGTGGGAGAGACCGGTCAGGCGGAAGGCACGGTCAGGGCAGAGTTGCCCTAGAGAAGTGAGCGGCGTGGCAGTGAGGGAGGCGGTTGGAAAGGGGAGCAGGTCGGCACTCCTGAGGGACTCCTTCAGCGCGCCCGGACCCGCTGGTCGGCCGGTCTGGAAGGGCACTGCCCAGAGGGCTGCTGTCACGAGTCAGGTCCACAGGACGTGTCGGCTAACTGCGGGAGGGGCTGGAGCGCCGCGCGGGGCGGGGTGGCCGCCAAGGGGACCGTCCCTGGGTGAGTGAGATAAGGAGCACGGGTGGAGGAACAGGTTGAGGGAAGTGACTCAGTCTGGAAAGGGGGTGTGGCCCTGGCACCGGTGTGGAGGGCACCAGGAAGAAACAGAAGTCCAGGACCAGCGAGGACCTGGGACAGAGGGGTCAGACTGCAGATCACGGGCAAAGAGGATGGCGCTGGCGAGGGAGACAGACAGGCGTGTTCCTTCACTCACTCTCGGGCACAGAGGGAGCCCCTCATGGAGGTGCCTCCCTGGGTTTCAAACGGGAGAGACTGCGGGCAGGACACGGCAGGGGCTGCGGGCTCGGGAAAGGGGTCCAGGGCGAGTCTGGGACAAGGGCGAGGAGAGGCTGTGAGGGTGGCCAAGGGCAGTGTCAGGCAGACAGGGAGGGTGGTGGCATGAAGGCAAAGAAGGAGAGAGTCAGGAAAATGTGGCCCAACAAACGGCAAACCTGGCCACGGGGGACGCAGCAGTGACCACAGACACCGCAGAGGGAGCCAGAAGGCCGTTGGGTTGGCCGGAGGGACGGCAGGCAGCCGAGTGGTGCCATGGCCCACGGGGTGGGCGGGGAGACAGGGAAGCGGGCGGGTGTGGCGGTGCCCGGGCACTGTGAGGACAGGAGACCGAGGAGGGCGACTCTGCTCGCGTTCCCCTTCCCTTCCGCTCCTCTCTGCAGAAGACAAAACGTTTGATTAGGAGGATTTGCATCTGTGTGTAGGCCTGGGGGAGAAGCTGGCAGAAAAGGGCGAAGAGGAAAGGGATGAATGGATAGGAAAAGGTTCCTAAAAAGCACGAGGTGTGGGAGCTCGAGCTCGGGCGGTGACATTGTTCTCGAGGTAGATGGGAGTTTCTGAGGACAGAAGGGAGGGCTGGGTGACAGCCAGAGGTAACTGAAGGAGGTGGGCCCTCCCTGGAGTCCCTCGTTCCCCTGGTCGCTCCTGCTGACCGGGCTCCCGTCCGATTCACACTGCCCGGGGCTGGGCCTGCAGGAGCTGCCCTATCTTTTCCTTTTTTTTTTTTTTGAGGTAATGTTGGCATATAATAGTGTGAAAGTTTCAGGTACCCAGCATTATCATTGAGGCTGCCTTTTGTTTTTGTGTTTTTGTTTCTGTTCAGATAGAGTGGGAGGGAGAGAGAGGAAGAGAGGGAGCGAGAGAGAAACATCGATGTGAGAGAGACACATTGACTGGTTGCCTCAGGGCCGGAGACAAACCACAACCGAGGGACATGCCCTTGACCTGAATTGAACCAGTGACTCACTGGGCCGCGGGCCGTCGCTCTAACCGCTGAGCCAAACCGGCCAGGGCGAGGCTGCCTTTTCATACCGGGGTAACCCGATGGGGATGAAGAGTTCCTGTGTTACTTCGCGGTCCCTGAGAAGTCCACCATAGCCACGGGAAGGCCACCGTGGCAGGCTTCCCGAGGTCAAGAGTGTTTCTGCCCGTGGAACGCGTCGGGGGCGGTCCGGTCTGCGCGTGTCAGGAGCATCCTCCGGGCGGGCGCTTGTGAGCAAACCGAACCACCCAGAGGTGCATTCATTATTTTGTTTCTGAGAAATAATGTCAGCCCATAAATGCCTTAACATGCTTTTCTATTTGATCTCATGTCACAATCCAAGACATCTGTGATTGTTTTTACAAGTATTAGGCTAACGTATGATTTTGTTAATTCCAAATGTGTTCAGTCACTGCGGAGAACTCCATTGTAGGTAAGTGTGTGTGGCATGTGTCAGTGGATGGTTTTCTCCCAAAGTGAAAGCTTACAGTAATGCCCTAAAAAGGGAGCAGAGTTGGGTCCAGGTGGGGTCCCAGGGAGCAGGAGAAGGGTGCAGGTGGGGAGGGATGGGCGGCTTCTCTGCATCTTTGGTCCTCAGGTGGGACGGGGCAGGTGGCCTCAGGATTTGACTTCTCTGCCTACAAATGTCTGGAGCAGACAGTACCAGGTGACCCGTGTTTCCTAGGGTTCAAGAGGTAGGAGCCAGGGGAGGGGATGATGATGATGAAGATGCTGTAGTTAACCTTTAGTGACCCCCTCATGGTATGTCCCGGGCACTGCGCCAAGCACTTTAGATGTGTTGTCATTGACTCCTCGCAGCAGTTCTTCAAGGTAGATGGTGTCGTCCTCGTTTTAAAGATGAAAAGGTTCAGAGAGGTTAATAATTGCCCAAGGTCACAGCCAGGGGTCTGCAGTCAGCCCCCAGCTCCGGACAAGGCCAACTGGCCACGCTGTGAGAATCAGAGGCCAAAGGTATTTACAAGTGGCCGAGGTTAGGGACCTCAGGGCAAGTCCCCTTCCCGGCCTGTGGGCTCTTCCCAGGCAGTGAGGCGGCCGCCAGGACAGCTGAGCTCTGTCCCTCCTGAGCCGGGAGCGCACAGGCAGGGCCCGCGGCGCGCTCTGCACGGGGCAGGAGCCCAGATGGGAGGAGCAGTCCTCTGTCCTCTCTGTCCTCTCACCCAGGGGGCCACACACCGGGCCTGGTGTCCTGTAAATGGGAAAAGGGCAAAGCTGTGAGTTCGGTTGGTCTGCCAAAATCGCCCTTCATGTCAGGGTTGGCGTCCAGAGCGGCAGGCCAGACAGTCCCCGGGGGAGCCCGCGTGGGCCCAGGTCTGAGGGACTCTTTCCTGGCCCCGAGGGAGCCGTCCCCTGGCAGAGCTCAGGGCTGAGTACAGAGAAGGCCAACCGGGCGGGGGACCGGATGTGGAGTGTCCGCTGAGCCGGGCTGGGAGTCCTCGTGGGCAGAGTCGGCAACCTCCAAGCCCCTTTTTCAAGATAAGGGACAAGGACAGCTGGCCTCAGGGGTGGCTGGCATTTCTTGGTGGGGGGGGAGCATATGAACTGACTTCTCTTGATTTTGTCAGATGGGTCTGCAAAGGGAAGGAGCGGTGTCATGTTCATTCACACAGTACACGCTGCCCCGCGGGACAGCCCCGTCGCTGTGTGGGCCGCCGCCTCCAGCCACCCTCTGCGCAGGGCTGGGGGAGGGGTTGGATGGGAGGACACAGGGAAAGGTGTCAGGTCCAGCTCCAGGAGCACACCCTCCTGACCTCACCGAGGTCCAGTCTGCCCGGAGCCACCGCTCGGTAGGCACCTGGCTGCCCCGTCACTGACGCGTCTGTTTGTTTCCAGTTCTTCAAGGCCTTTTCCAAGGATGGCCCAGGAGAGACGCTGTCAGGTGGGTGCCCCTTCTGCGGAGTTTCTGGGGGTGAAAGCGCAGCGAGACCTGCAGAGGGAGTGTCCCCCAAGGCTGAGTCTGTTCTCACTGCCCTTCCCTCCAGGGTCCTGGGGGGGTCACCACGTCCCCAAATCGCCCTTTGTGTCAGTTGGTGTCCAGAGGGGCAGGCCAGACAGCCCCTGGGGGAGCCCTTGTGGGCCCAGGCCTGAGGGAAGGGTCCCCTGGAGGAGCTCAGGCCTGAGGGACTCTGTCCTGGCCCCGGGGGAAGGGTCCCCTGGCGGAGCTCAGGCCTGAGGGAGTCCGTCCCGGCCCTGGGGGAAGGGTCCCCTGGAGGAGCTCAGGCCTGAGGGACTCTGTCCTGGCCCCGGGGGAAGGGTCCCCTGGCGGAGCTCAGGCCTGAGGGAGTCCGTCCTGGCCCCGGGGGAAGGGTCCCCTGGAGGAGCTCAGGCCTGAGGGAGTCTGTCCTGGCCCTGGGGGAAGGGTCCCCTGGCGGAGCTCAGGCCTGAGGGAGTCTGTCCTGGCCCCGGGGGAAGGGTCCCCTGGAGGAGCTCAGGCCTGAGGGAGTCTGTCCCGGCCCCGGGGGAAGGGTCCCCTGGCGGAGCTCAGGCCTGAGGGAGTCCGTCCTGGCCCCGGGGGAAGGGTCCCCTGGAGGAGCTCAGGCCTGAGGGACTCTGTCCTGGCCCTGGGGGAAGGGTCCCCTGGAGGAGCTCAGGCCTGAGGGAGTCCGTCCTGGCCCTGGGGGAAGGGTCCCCTGGCGGAGCTCAGGCCTGAGGGACTCTGTCCTGGCCCTGGGGGAAGGGTCCCCTGGCGGAGCTCAGGCTGTGAGTACGGAGGGGGCTGACCCTGCTGTTTCTCAGAACCAGCAGCCTGGGCCCTTCGTTTGTATGAGTGAAGCTGACAGGCACTGGGTCCCTTCTGCTGTCCTCACGCCCTCCCTGTGTCGTCCTCCTTTGTAGTGGCAGGAGCTGATGTGCAGACGCTGCGGGAGAGGCTCATTGACGCCCTGGAGACCCACAGTACCACGTGGCCCGCTGCCTGTCCCCCGCTGGAGCCCACCAGGTACTGGGGCCGAGCAGGCTTGCTGCAGTGTGGACCAGGGCCACAGGCCGAGCAGAGGGATGTGGGGAGAGCAGGGAAGCGGACCCAGGTTGGTTCTTCCTGCTGCCACCGGGGCAGACATCTCATTGGGCCAGAGGGCGCCCTGTTGCTGGAGGTCCTGCCCAGGCGCCCTGTCTTCCTCGGCCGACGGGCAGGTGCAAGGACCTATCCCGCAGGTGGGAAGGAAGGGGCAGGGGTTCTTCAGGTCATAACCTACTGCTGCTTCTCACACCTGTCCCAGGAACATCTGGGGGTGCAGCAGAATTTCACATGTTCTAACCCTGGGAGGGCGACTGGGAGAGTGGGCATGGGGAGGAAGAAGGGATCCGGGACCATTGAGAGGGAAAGGGGGTGAGGGCTGGGAAGAGGACAGCCCTGTCTCTGTAAAGTGGAGGTGGTCGTTTTTTCTGAGCAATGGCTGTGGCCGGGGGTGGGGGTGTGACTCTGCAGCGGGCCCACGCTTCAAGGATTGCCTCTTTTCTAAGAAAACGGGGTGCTGAAGTGCACCATGGGGGTGTGAGGACAGGAGAGAAGTGGGGAGCAGGAACAGGTACAGAAGTGTTTCCTGGGTCGTGGGGTTTCCTGGGACCGAAACCACGCCAAGACCATGTGCTGGGCCAGGGTCTCCACCAGGCCCTCTGGGGGATGGAGACTCAGGAGAAAGGGTGAGTCATGTGAGTGGATTCATAGGTACAGTTGTCGTCTCCATGTCTCCCCTCTATGGGAGAGTTAGGGCGAGACCCCATGCACCTCGGGCCCGTGCCGAAGCCCAGCCCAGTGACAGCACAGACGGGTGTGCCAGAGAGGGGGGGCCAGGCCTGTACCTCTTCATCCGCCGACTGGGCTACACCCCGGCCCCCACCTCTCTGGCATATCCGTTTGTGCTGGGTCACTGGGCTGGGCTCCAGCACAGCCCCGAGTTGTGCCTTCTGTTCACAGGTGACCACTGCCGTGTCACTGGCCCAGTAGAGGGAATGAGGTCATCAGGTTGGGGGTAAGAGGAAGAGATAGCCCCCCAGTGCCATGTCACCTGTGGGCCTCTTACACATGTAGTTGACGTTCTGCTTTTACGTGGAGTGAGGAGACACATCATTTTTGTATTATGCAGTTATTTTCTGTTCAAACTTTGAGTTATGAAAACAGTTGGTAGCTTTATTCTCTGATTTGGGGTGTAATAAAATTTGCCACCTTATTAATTTCCTCCTGTGCTCTGGGCCTCAGTTTCCTCATCTTAAAATGAGGAGATTGGATTAGATAGCATCTGTGGGCTCATGTAGCCAGGACTTTCTGCTTCTCCAGTTCCTTTCTTATGCCTACTCTAGGAGAGGAAAAATCAGGTCTCCCGGTTGGTAGTGACTTGCCACAGATCAAGGCTCGTATCTGGTGGGGACTAATTGCCAGTCTCTTAGGGACCAACAGAATCCATATTCACTGAGCCTGGGCCTTACCCAAAACATAGACAGCTGGTCTCCCAGCGTCTCTTCCCAGTCGTCCTCCCTACTCACTCTGACTGTGAACGAGACAGGGTAGCAAAGCACACCCACCAGGTGGGTGAGATGAATAACCAGGGTTAGGTAGGTGCACTGTCCTTTGAGACGAGGGGTTTGGTTTACTCCCCCTAGAGGGCAGGCTGGGGGTGACGTCCATGAAGCCTTGAGCAGAGGAGGTTCGTGTAGCTGCACTGGTAGCAGGGTGTCAGCTGGTGTCACCAGAGCTTTTGCTTCGTTCCTACCGGCTGTGGAGTGACTGCCAGCCTTGTCTCTTGCAGGCTGGAGGAGATTAATGGGTTCTTTGCAAGAAACGATAAAGAAGAGTACCTGGCCTTGATCTTTGAAAAGGAAGGCTCCTACTTGGGTAGAGAGGTGAGCTGCCCTCAGGGTCCTTGTAACTCCTGGGTAGCCCTTGGGAGGGAGCCCACTGAGTTCAGGAGCAGGCACGTTCCTACAAATTCCTGGGTCTCCGTCCTGTGCACTTCTGAGCCCAGCACTGGCCTGACCCCTGCTGGGAGAAACGGTAAGTGCAGGAGCTGGGTCTTTCTGTTATAAAACCTTTGTATGTTTTTTCCAAATTGAAGTGTAATTGACATACATTATATTAGTTTCAGGCATACAACCGAATGTTTTGACATTTGGGTACATTTTGAAATAATCACCATAATAAGTGTAGTTCCCATGTGTCACCACACAAAGTGAATACACTGTCACTGAATATGCTGTAGGTTACAGGTCTTGCGTCTGTTTTTATCTCCTCGTCGAAACCAAATTTGATAAGACCTGCTGTTCATTGAGCATTGGATCAGATTGCTGGCCACAGAGTTGCCGACGTTCACGACTAACAGAGACGATCATAGGACGTGTGGAAGATCACACAGCCAGTGTCTGCAGAGCGGGGCTTTGAACCCGCTCTGTCTGCCTCCAGAGCCCGTGTCGTCTCCACGTTGGGCCTCCTCAGCGTGTGTGCCGTGGGAGGTCCAGGCCCCTGGCCCGAGGCAGAGAGCTGTCCTCTCCGCCGCTGGCTCATGGACCTCTCCAGGCCGCTGTGGGTTCTCCCAGAGCAAAGGTGGGGCGGGCCAGTGCCTGGGAGAAGGGCCAGGGCAGCCCAGGGGGACAGAGGGACGTGAGAGGACGAAATGCAAGACCACCGTTGGCTTTTAGTGGCTTTCCTCCTGCGACTCATCAGCACAGTCGAGGGCACTGCACTGAGGGGACGCGCAGGGAGGTGGGGAGAACACCGGAGCTTTGCTGAGACATGCCTGACCCTCCCGGGGGTCCGGTTTAGGCCTGGGGTCATGCCTGTCACGTCGAAGCGATGGATAAATGTTCACTGGAATCAGCTCTTCTCCCTCTCCCCCACGTCTGTGGAACCAGGGACAGGGGCCCCTGTGGACTGTGTCCATGCAGAGGCTCGTGGGGGTGATTATCGGTTTGAGAGGCAGGAGGCACAGTGGCCAGGGGCCCAGGCTCTGCAGCCAGATCGAACTGGGATCTATACAGCCGCACAGGTGCCTGCTGGCTGTGTGACCCAGAGACACGGTTTCACCGCTAAGCCTCTGTTTCTTCATCTACAATAGTTTTATTTTTTTAAATGAATAGTTATGTACCTACTGTTTGCTAGTCACTGGTATGAGTACTTTTATAAAATGAACCCATTCAGTCCTCTGAAGTTGGTATTTTTGTTATTATAATTCTGCAAGTAAGGAAATTGAGTCAGGGAGAGGTTCAGGCTGGAGGACCAGGATTCAGCCAGGCAGCCCTAGTGACCTGCACCTCCTCGCCTGGGCTCCTGAGGGTAGTTCTGAAGATTAAATGAAGCAATCTATGTACAGTACATAGTACATACTAACTAAATGTTAGCTAACCTTTTTCCCCTTCCTAGTTCTTTCTAAAAATAAAATCATCATGACTGACTATATTTCTGATTTGGAGTGTAACTAGAAAACCTTACAAATATGAGTAAAATGAACTCACATTCTGTTGTGCCTTTTACAAACTGCTTCGATTGGGAAGAAAATGATACTAAATTGGGGCTGTCCGGGAGATCCCAGATGTGTGGCGTGCACAGTTCCAAGGCCCCTCCTGTTACCTGTGGGCAGGTGCGCTTGGTAGCCCGAGGCTCTCACTCATCACGATGGCCTGTTGGTGGAAAGGTCAGAGTGGACGGAGTGCTGGCACCCCGGTGCCCGTCAGGGCTCCCTCTGCCCAGTGGCTTGGCCGCCAGGTGTCTGATTTTCTCTGCAGGTGACTCTGGACCTGTCCCAGCGCAAAGGCATCGCAGTGCGCAGGGTCCTGAACACAGAGGGCAACGTGGTGAACAAGTTTGGCGTCACCGACTTCCCGTCTTGCTACCTGCTGTTTCGGAACGGCTCTGCCTCCCGAGTTCCTGTGTGAGTTGTCTCTCTGCCCAGTGTCCTCCCTCCCTGTGCGCATCCGTGTTCCCGCCTAGAGAGCCTGCCAGCCTGTCCCAGGGGCCCGTTCCTCTGTGAGTCTTCTGAGAAGCCCAGGGGCCGGCTTGGAGCACCCCTGCAGGAGAAGCACACGTCTGCCTGTGGCGCGTGGGGCGATGTGTGTACGGCCAGGGCACAGGCCCAGAACGCTGCCCTCGGACCCTGCCCACCCAGCTTGGCACTGCAGCCCCTCCCCCGCAGCCGTGCCCCTGTTCCCTGTCTGCCTGTGTTCGGACAGACTCGTTGGCAGGCTGCAGGCCTGGCAGGCACTCAGCTATGCCTGACCCTCCCTCCCTTTGGTTTTCTAATTGCAGAAAAGTTCATTAGGAGCCAGACAATAGCCAGTTCCAAAATGCCAAGAGAAAACAATCAGGCCAGCCGCAGCCCCTGTCAGGCTCCTGCTGCTGAATGGCCCGTTAAATGGCGCCAGATGGTGCCTTGGTGCCCTCCCTGGGCTGATGATTGATGTCGGCGTGGCCCTGAGGCAGGAGGGCCGGGAATCCAGGCTTGCTGGCGGTGCCCGGTGCCCGATGAGCTGTTCCTCTGGGCCGTTCGGGCCACCCCGCACTGAGGCTGGGCAGGGCGGCCACTTGCCCTGGCCGGCCGATCACCAGGCAGCCTGGGCCAGCGGGTGTCCGAGCGTTCTGCTGGGGGAAGGGAGCGCGATGGCCACAGGGGACAGAGGGACGCACTTTCTGCACAGGCCCAGGAAGCACGGGTCCTGGTTGGGAGAGGCGGCATTGTTTCCTCGCTGGGAGCTGGTGGAGGGGAAAATTGTTTGTGACGACGCTGCTCCTGAGCCATCTGCTCGCCGATGAACACCGGGCCAGGACGCGGAGTGGAACGCGGTGCTGCCAAAGCGGCTCCCCTGGGGCCCGTCACTGCCACTGTCCTCGTCTCCCCTCCCCGAGCCGGACCGGGGTGCCTCCTGCCCTTGAGAACTCCTCTATCAGGAGAGAAAGAAAGCAAAGGAGTTGAGAATTTTAGTGTTTTATTTTTGTTGCTACTTTTAAAAATCACACATTAAACTCCCTTGCCGTGCCTGGGGAGTCAGTCCCCTCGGACCCCGGAGCAAGCCCGTGAGCGCAGCTTCCCGGAGGACAGGCACCCTGTCCGTGGGCAGGACGGCGCTGTCCCCGAGCTGCGCTGTCGCACAGCCTCTCCAGGGCCGCCGAGCTGCTTTCCCAGGCAGGATTGGACATCGGCATGAACAGCGAACAGAGAGGCCGAAGTGAGGCATGGCTGCCCCGGTTTTGACCTCACTGAGGATGAGACCGAGTCCAGATATTTCTTAGTAACCACTTCTGTCTCAGAGGGGCAGGGGCTCCTCCTCCGAGTTAGCTCGGGTTCTGTTTCTCTGTACTCACCGCTGCTTCTCTGGTTCTCTCCCCTCCCAGGCTCATGGAGTCCAGGTCCTTCTACACCACTTACCTGCAGAGGTTTGCTGGGGCCCCCCGGGAGGCTGCCCCCACCACGGTTGCGCCAACCGCTGTGAACACGGTAGCTTCCACCGTGTGGAAGATTGCAGACCGGTAAGGCCACAGCCGTTTTCCTCACCTCTGCCCAGCTCCAGCCACCCCTGCTCACTGACGCCCCCCTGCAGGCCACTCTGGTCCTTGTCACGAATGAGCATGTGCCATGCTGAGCCCAGACCCCACAGCACTGGCCTTGGCCTTGGCCCCAGCTGCTGGCCACACCCAGAGAGCCTGGGTGTGCGGGAGCAGCAGCATTCCTGTACCCTTCGTGAGGGGATGGATACTTTCCAGTGCCCACGTTCCTTATGCTTACCTCTGCTCAAAGAGAATCTGTGGCCTCCAGACCAGCTTCCCACCCCAGCAATGGCTTCTTCAGCCAATTATTTTGTTTTTTTCATTGATTTAGGACAGAGAGGAAGAGAAGAAAATTGATGTGAGGGAGAAACATCGGTTGCTTCCCATACGCATCCCGACCAGGGATCAAACCTGTAACCTGGGTTTGTGCCCTCACCAGGAACTGAACCCGTGACCCTTTGGTGCATGGGATGATGCTGCAGCCAGCTGAGCCAGACCAACCAGGGCTTCAGCAAGTAGTTTGGAGTGCCGAGTGCCAGGCATTGTGAACACAGTTGCACAGGGCCGATGGAGTCCCTGCCCACACAGCCCCTTTATAGCATCCCTTCTAGGAAGGCACACAACTTCACTTGAATGTCTCTGGTGTCGTGGAGCTCACTACTTTTTGAGGTATCTTTGTGCACGGTTGTAAGCCTGAGAAAGCTGCTCTTCCCTCTGAGGCTCTGCTCTTGTGGTAGGTCCCCACGAGACTCTGGGGCAGGGGACAAGGCTGTGGTAGGTCCCCGCTCTGGGGCAGGGGACAGGGCTGTGGTAGGGTCCCCGCTCTAGGGCAGGGGACAAGGCTGTGGTAGGTCCCCGCTCTGGGACAGGGGACAAGGCTGTGGTAGGTCCCCGCTCTGGGGCAGGGGACAAAGCTGTGGTAGGGTCCCCGCTCTGGGGCAGGGGACAAAGCTGTGGTAGGGTCCCCGCTCTGGGGCAGGGGACAAAGCTGTGGTAGGGTCCCTGCTCTGGGACAGGGAGACCAGGCTGCTGCCCCCTTGTGGTAGGGTCCGCGCTCTGGGGCAGGGAGACCAGGCTGCTGCCCCCTTGTGGTAGGGTCCCCGCTCTGGGCAGGGAGACCAGGCTGCTGCCCCCTTGTGGTAGGTCCCCGCTCTGGGGCAGGGAGACCAGGCTGCTGCCCCCTTGTGGTAGGTCCCCGCTCTGGGGCAGGGGACAAGGCTGTGGTAGGGTCTCCGCTCTGGGGCAGGGAGACCAGGCTGCAGCCCCCTTGTCTACCACCCAGCGGTGAACCAGGTGCAGAGCGCTGACCAGGGAGCTGGGAGCTGCGTTGGGAAGGCGGCCTCCACGCGGGGCTGCACGAGAGAATTGGGGGGGAAAGGCCATCTGATTTTTAGAAGAAATTTGCATCCCAGCTGCAGGAACTTTAAGGGTGGAAAATACTAATGGAGAGATTTTTAGTATATCAGGAAGAGAGACTTAGAGGTTGGAATGGTCATTATATCATTCAAATACGATTATTCAAAGCATTTAGATTATAATAGCTGGCACTCACTGGCCTCATCTGCCACACTTTGTGCTGGGCACCTTCCATATATTATCTCTCAGTCAGATCACAAGAATGGAGGGGTAAACTGAGGCTCAGGGGCACCACAGTGGAGCAGAGAGGTGACTGTCACGGGAGACAAGTGCAGGTGGTCACCGTGCCAACCCCGTGAGCTCCCCTTGTTGGCTCCTGACTACCGTAGGAGGTAGGGTGACCCCAAGGCCCAGAGAGGCAGACTGAGTGGCCCAGCTCCCAGAGGTAGCTTCCTGAAGAACTGAGGTCAGAGTTCAGGTCTCAGGAGGCGGCTAGAGAAGCAGTCAGCACCCGGGCCCCTCCCACCAGATCCCTGAACCCAGAGCCCGAGGGAGCATTTGCCTGGGGTGGGACAGACAGCTTGGAGCCCTGCCTGAACCCCGAGGTCTGGCTGCTGTGAGGACATCAGCCCCAAATGATACACACACCACCTCCCCTCCTCCCGGCCCTGCCGCACCCGCTCTTCCAGAGCCATGCTGTGTGGGTGCACCTGTTGGTCTGTCTGTCTGTCCCTAGGAGTCTCTTCCAGAACTGAGTAAATCTCAGCCTTCCTCTAGGCCAGTGGTTCTCAACCCTCCTAATGCCTCGACCTTCTAACATAGCTCCGCATGTTGTAGTGGGCGGATCTGCGTGTGGGCGGACCCCCTGGAGACGGATAGAGGAGCTGTGTCTCGGTTCCTAAGACCATCGGAAATATGTGTTTTCCGATGGTCTTAGGTGACCCCTGTGAAAGGGTCGTTTGACCCCCAAAGGGGTCGCGACCCACAGGTTGAGGACCGCTGCTCTAGTAGCCTGATTAAAACACCTTTGGTGAGTCGTGAGAGGGACTGGCCTTGGGCCCGTAGAGGGGAACCCCTACTCTGCGCCCAGAGCTGCTGGGGTGGGCGTACATTTGTGCTTTCATTTAATCCTCTCGGCTGCCCACCTGTGAGCAGTTTATTATTATCCCCATCCTACAGGTGAGGAATTGAGGCTCAGAGAGGTTAGGTAATATACCCAGCGTCACAGTTCCTGGCACAGCCAAGAGCCAACTTAGAGGACTCTGGGACCGCCCACGTGGCCCTCCTCGTCTCGTCACCCTGGGCGCTCCTCCCCAGCCCTGCCCGTGGTTAATACCCTGTCTCTCTCTGCCCGCTCGGGCCCTCAGCTCCAAGATCTACATGGCTGACCTGGAGTCCGCACTGCACTACATCCTGCGGGTGGAAGTGGGCAAGTTCTCCCTCCTGGAGGGGCAGCGCCTGGTGGCCCTGAAAAAGTTCATGGCAGTTTTGGCACAGGTGAGCAGGGCCCTGGCCTCCGCCCCCGGGCAGCTCCACGGAGGGTCAGTGCACACCACGCCCAGCCCCTCCCTCGGGAGCTCGTGGTTCGGCTGGACATCTGGCTCCATGGCTGTTCCAGGCCACCGTGGGCTGTCACCCTGCAACCTCAGCCATGCCCACCAGCCACACTGCCAGGGGCAGCAGTGTGAGCTCTCACTTCCTGCCATGACCACTGGGGGAGCAGGACCCATGGAGGCCACAGTGAAGGAAAGAAGTCTTTTCTGAGTCTCCTCTATGCCCTCCCAGACCCAGAAGAGTCCAACCTATGTCCTGGGCCCTAGCCTGGCCTGCCTTCCTCCTTTGTCATTTCCTGCCCACGAGGCCACCTGTGGAGTGTGGCTGCTACACACTGAGGCCCCCACTTAAGGGGCCCAGGATGCCCAAGGCAGGAGGAGGTTTTGAACTGGGCTCCCAGGCCCCAGAGCCTGTGCCCTCTCTGCCATGCTTCTTGCTCCTGTCTGTAGGTGAGGTGTGGCTGCCTCTTCCCTCTGCACCTGCCTCCTGCCCTTCCCTGTCCCTCCCTGGTTCCAGATCTGCCGTGGTGCCCTACTTCAACCCACTGAGGGTGCTGAGTCAGAGCTGGGCTCTGGTCCCCGTTACAGCCTGACTGCTGACTCAGCACCCTCAGTCCTGGGCGCCAGGTCTGAGCTTGTGGGTGCAGTGGGCAGCTGGGGCTGTCACCTCTGGAGGTGACCTGCACCTCGCCCTCGGGAGCTGCCTGCCAGTCTATTCCCTCTGCCCACTTTGCCAGCCTGGCCTTCTGGCTTACTTGGCTTAGCCACGTGTGTGTGTTACACTGAGGGTCCGTGAGGTAGCCAGTGCCCATCACAGAGCCCTGGTACCATCCAGCGTGACAGCCCTCGGCCCTGCCAGAGGTCCCACCGCACCGAGCCCTGGTCTTCAGCCCATTCTGACAGTAGAGGCCTTTTCTCAGAGGCCCTGGGAGCCACTTGGTCCCCACGTTGCCGAGGCCTGCGGGGGCTGTCCTGCCTGACGCATGCCTGACACCAGAGTGCTCTACAGGCGTCTCAGGAGATGAAGGGACACCCCACCCTCAGGCTAGTCCTCCACAGAGGGACCGTCCAGGGAAACTATTTCTCGTGAGCCATCCGAAGCTGTTTCTGCCTGGCCCCCAGTGGGACTGTTGGCAGCCGGTGTGAGGGGAAGACTGGGTTCCGGGAGATGCTGGAGTCGGGCAGAGGCTGAGCAGCACTCTCCCCTCAGCAGGGCCTGGAAATGATCTGGGCGAAGGAGCCCTCCCTGCCGAGCCCGGGCCCTCAGGGCGGGGCTGGCCTTGGACTGGAGGGAGGCCTTGTTTAGGCCTCACCTCAGGAGCCCAGGAGACAGAGGATTTGGCCCTGCCCTGTTTGGGCGGCTTCTGCCTGAAGTAGTAATAGTAGCTGCTACCCTTTCTTGAGCTCTGACCGGTGCCAGACTCTGCCAGGTTCTCTGTGAGTTAGCTTGTTTGTATTTCTCGTAACAAGCCACAGAGCGAGGATCCCACCACAGGAAAGGAAGGCCCAGGGGAGGAAAGCACCTCGTCCCAGGCCCTCCAGCCAGTGGGTGGCTGAGCTGAGACGTTACCCACCGTCGTCTAACCCGTGCCCTCGGCCCTGTGCACAGGGGGCACCGAGAGCCTGAGGTGATGGTGCTCGCTCGGCCTCGGCCCGGCGTGGTCAGCCCTGGCTGTGCCCGGTGGGAGGCACTCTGCCAGTCTTGAGGGTGCCCTCCCGCCCTGCCCCTACCTGAGCCAGGGAGCTTTCTGCTCTCTCACGCGAGTGTCTGGAGGACTAGCCACTGGGTGGCGTGTGGTCACCAGGGTTTCCCTGTAGCCCAGAGCCTTGAATCCATCCTGCCTGCTGACACGGTGGCCTTGGGGCAGGAGGCCCCGGGTCCCATGACTCGAATGTCAGTGAGAGGCTGGCTGGAAGCGGCACCTTCGTGCTGAGAGCCCAGCTGTGAGCGGAGCGAGAAGGAGCAGGTCAAGGCCCGGGATTCTGTCCGGCCTCTTCCCTCTGGGGATGTGGCCACAGAGGAGGGTGGACAAGCTGAGGGATTGGTTTTCGCAGAGGACTGGGTCGGTTGGCAGGTTTTTCTGTTCAGTGATCATTCCCGTCCTCAGAACCTTTCTTCTCTCAGAGGGTTTTCTTCGCTTGAATTTTCCTCTGCCAGCCTGTGGGTGTCCCCCTGACCTGCTCAGCCCAGCCCCGGCGCTGCTCACGGCCCACCCGCCCACACCCGCACGCGTCTGTCCCTCCCTGGAGCCCTTGTGGTTTCAAAGTGCTGATACTAATCAGATTCGAGCTGACTTATCGTCAGAGCAGCTTTTCATGTTCCTCAGAGACTACTGGGAGTTACCATCAGGGCTGGGGTCTGGGCTCTAAGCCCGCGGCTGCCTGGTCCCCACTGAGCCCGTGGGACACAGATGGCAGGCTGTGTGCCGGCCTCGCCCGGCCGGCCAGTCAGCGCGTCCGCTCCAAGGGAGATCACCTGAAGAGAACGCGTGGCCCAGGCTCCCAGCAGCCCTGGGAGCCCCGAGGTGGGTGGTCAGGGGTCCGCACGGGAGCCCCGGCCCGGAGAGGAGGAGGCCTCGGGGGCAGCCCCCCCCAGCCTTCCCCCCCAGCCTCACCAGGTGCCCCAGAGCCAGGGTGGAGAGGAGCCCCAGCCTCCCGGGCAGAGTGTCTTCCTACCTTGGCCCACTTCGCCCCCCACCCGCTGGGCCGGGCCTCTGGGACGGTTTCCGGCTCACCCTGCGCTTGTGTCGCCCCAGCACTTCCCGGGCCAGCCCCTGGTCCAGAACTTCCTGCACTCCGTGAACGGCTGGCTGGCGCGGCAGCAGAGGAAGAAAATCCCCTACGGCTTCTTCCAAGCTGCCCTGGAAAACAGGAAGGAGGTGAGTCCCGGCAGCTTCGAAGCTTCTCTCCACCTCTGAGACTGCGGGTGCAGGGTACGCCGACCTCTGACCTCCGCCGATCGCATTCAGGGAGGGTCAGTGATCTTGGTTGGTCCTTCCATTAATAATAAGTTAATTTATTGATCTCTTTACATGCATATCTTTACAACATTATTTGAAGATGGATATTATCCCCATTTAGCAGATGAAAAAACTGAGGTTAAGTAATTTGTCTCAGCCCATAAGTGGTTGGGCTGGGATTTAAAAGTGATAGTGAGGCACCGGTGTCAGTTTTTAACTACTGCCCTCTGTTGCCTCCAAGCATATCATCCTACCCACTTGGCGTGGTTTTTCTGTGCCTCCCCAGGGCGCATGCTGTGCCCCACTCGGCGTGGCTTCTCTGTGCCTCCCCAGGGCGCATGCTGTGCCCCACTCGGCGTGGCTTCTCTGTGCCTCCCCAGGCTGCCATGCTGCGCCCCGCTCGGCGTGGCTTCTCTGTGCCTCCCCAGGCTGCCATGCTGCACCCCGCTCGGCGTGGCTTCTCTGTGCCTCCCCAGGGCGCGTGCTGGGCCCCGCTCGGCGTGGCTTCTCTGTGCCTCCCCAGGCCGCCATGCTGCGCCCCACTCGGCGTGGCTTCTCTGTGCCCCGCTTGGCGTGGCTTCTCTGTGCCTCCCCAGGCCGCCGTGCTGGGCCCCGCTCGGCGTGGCTTCTCTGTGCCTCCCCAGGCCGCCGTGCTGGGCCCCGCTCGGCGTGGCTTCTCTGTGCGGCTTCTCTGTGCCTCCCCAGGCCGCCGTGCTGGGCCCCTCCTCTTGCCACTGTTTGCAAAGGTGGGTCACAGCAGCCCTCAGAGGGAAAAGCCATACAGGCCTATAGGATGTCCAAGCTGGAAGGAACCCTTGAGATCAGCCCCTCATTTTACAGATGGAGAGGTTGCGGCTGAATAAGCACGTGTCTTGATCTGTGTCACAGCTTTTCAGATGTGAGGCTCTGTGTGTGCAGCCGAGGAAGGGGCGGTAGCCTGGGAGGGGACCTCGTTGGCCTCAGCGCTGTGTGCAGACCTTGGAGCCTCCCGGAAGCTCCTCATCCCCCACCTTTTCCTCTCTGTGTGCACTCACATTCCCTTTGTCCCTCAGGGCGCTGTGATCATGAAGAAGGTGAACTGGGTGGGCTGCCAGGGGAGTGAGCCACATTTCCGGGGCTTTCCCTGCTCCCTGTGGGTCCTCTTCCACTTCCTGACCGTGCAGGCGACGAGACAAAATGTAGACCGCTCGCAAGAAACAGGTGAGTCCGGGACCTGTGAGCCGCCAGGCCTCAGCCAGGCCCTGTGCTGCCTCTGCTGGCTCCCTGCTGCCTTTGCAGCTGGCCACGCACCCGGTTAGTTTGCAGCTGGCCACGCACCCGGTTAGTTTGCAGCTGGCCACGCTCACTGTTAGTTTGCAGCTGGCCACGCACACTGTTAGTTTGCACCTGGCCACGCACACAGTTAGTTTGCAGCTGGCCACCCACACGGTGAGTTTGCAGCTGGCCACGCACACGGTTAGTTTGCACCTGGCCACGCACACGGTTAGTTTGCAGCTGGCCACGCACACGGTTAGTTTGCAGCTGGCCACGCACACAGTTAGTTTGCAGCTGGCCACCCACACGGTGAGTTTGCAGCTGGCCACGCACACGGTTAGTTTGCAGCTGGCCACGCACACGGTTAGTTTGCAGCTGGCCACGCTCACTGTTAGTTTGCAGCTGGCCACGCACACGGTTAGTTTGCAGCTGGCCACGCACACGGTTAGTTTGCAGCTGGCCACGCACACGGTTAGTTTGCAGCTGGCCACGCACACGGTTAGTTTGCAGCTGGCCACGCTCACTGTTAGTTTGCAGCTGGCCACCCACACGGTGAGTTTGCAGCTGGCCACCCACACAGTTAGTTTGCAGCTGGCCACGCACACTGTTAGTTTGCAGCTGGCCACGCACACGGTTAGTTTGCACCTGGCCACGCACACGGTTAGTTTGCAGCTGGCCACGCACACGGTTAGTTTGCAGCTGGCCACCCACACGGTTAGTTTGCAGCTGGCCACCCACACGGTGAGTTTGCAGCTGGCCACGCACACGGTGAGTTTGCAGCGGGCCACGCACACGGTTAGTTTGCAGCTGGCCACCCACACGGTTAGTTTGCAGCTGGCCACGCACACGGTGAGTTTGCAGCTGGCCACGCACACGGTGAGTTTGCAGCTGGCCACGCACACGGTGAGTTTGCAGCTGGCCACGCACACGGTGAGTTTGCACCTGGCCACCCACACGGTTAGTTTGCACCTGGCCACGCACACGGTTAGTTTGCAGCTGGCCACCCACACGGTTAGTTTGCAGCTGGCCACGCACACGGTGAGTTTGCAGCGGGCCAGCATGGGACCAGAAGGGGAACACCTGGAGAAGCTGCCCAGCCCTGCCCCCTGCCCCAGGGTGGTGTCCCACAGACTGGGCATGAGGCTTCTTCCTGGCTTTCTCAGGCCATAGCTTGCTTCAGTCTTCATGAAGAGTGAGTGGTTCCATTTTCTGTGCTCCTGTGAAGAAAAGAACTCTGCTTCAGTTTACATGGCTGGTGCCATGTGTTTGAACACTTTAAAAATATATATGTATGTTTTTCTTTATTTTTAGAGAGAGAGGGAGAGAGAGAGAGAAACATGGATGAGAGAGAACATCAATTGGCCGCCTCCTGCATGCCCCACACTGGGGATCAGGCCCACAGCCTGGGCATGTGCCCTGACCAGGAATCAAGCCAGTGGGTTGATGCTCAACCACTGAGCAAAACCGGCTGGGCTGTATTTGAATACTTTGTTGTTTCTCATTGAAAAACCATTATCTAGCCGTGGCCGGTTTGGCTCAGCAGTTAGAGCATCGGCCCTCAGATCGAAGAGTTGTGGATTCGATTTCTGGTCAAGAGCACTTACCTGGGTTGCAGGTTTGATCCTCGGCCCCAGTCGGCGTCATGCAGGAGGCAGCCAGTCGATGTGTCTCTCTCACGTCGGTGTTTCTCTCTCTCCCTTCCCCCTGTCCACGCTATCTAAAATTCAATGGAAAAATCTCCTCGTGGGGATTAACGACGACGAAATCATGTTCTAGGGGAAGCTGGGGAAATGCCTTGCCCCTCCTGTCCCGTCCCTCCCCAAACCACAGCTGTTCTCCACGACCCACACTGCCTCACCCCTCCGCCTCGCCATCACAGGGTGGGCATCCAGTCCCGGCCACATGTTCCGAGGCAGCAGGGCTGTGTGCGGCCCTGGCTCGGCTTGGGAGAGGTCAGGTGGAGAGACAGTCCCTGCTCTTGGTGGACTGTGGGACAGGTGGGCAGGGGGAATGTGCCAGGCCAGGAGCCAAGGGGGAGAGAAGGGTGAGGAGGTGAGTTGTGTTCACCTAAGAATGAAAGGCCAGAGTGGGAGGCCGCGAGCCTTTATTTGAAATTTTAAAAAAAGAATAGCCCTTTGGGAAGCACTCATTCAGCAGAAACTCAAGTAGTGTTCGGATTAGGCGACAAGGCAGGAACCCTTCGCGAGAAAGGGACAGTTCCATCAGTGGGAGGAGGCATTTCTGTGGTGCAGATAAGCTCTCAGAGATGCTAATTCTAAAGAATGATTTCAGTTTTCAGTCTGGTAGCCACCAGCCCAGTAGTCATAATCTCTGCTTTGCTTCGTCATCTTTGCAAACAGTTCTTTGGGGGAAAATGTTGCTTTAGGCCCATTCCAGAGATTTGAGGCCTAAGGTGGGCGAGACAGATCCTCTGGGATGGCCGCTCCCACTCCGTTGTCCAGCGGCTGCATTTGTATTGTTTTCACAGTTGACAGTCATGGGAAGAACAGGGGTAGGAGGGAAGGGCGTCCCATCCCCGACAGAGAGGAGGGAATTAGGGAAGCTCCCAGTCATTGTGTCAGCCAGGCCCTGCTCTAGCGGCGGGCACAGCGGTACGAGGTGCGAAGTCCGTCTCAAGGGACAGAACTCCAGGGGCAGCAGACGACAGTAGACACGCAGACAGACCATCCAGTTACGGTGACGAGCGCTGTGCAGAGGACAGAGCATAGTGGGCCTAGGGAGGGCGTAGGGAGGGCCGCCCCAGGGCAGGCCCTGTGCGCAGACCTGCGGTGCCAGGGAAGTAGCCGCGGGAGGTCTGGGGAGAGCCCTCCAGACCGAGTCGGTTTGCTAGGCCCGCCATAGCCAGATGCTGCCCACTGGGGAGCTTCGGCCACAGGAAGGTGTTTTCCCACAGTTCTGGAGGCTGAAAGTCCAAGACGAAGGTGTTGGCAGGGTAGATTTCCGCTGAGACCTCTCCTTGGTTTGTAGGTGGCCGTCCCCTCCCTGTGTCTTCACACGGTCTTCACCGTGTGCGTGGCTGCGCCCAGATTTCCTCTCATTTTAGCATGATCACCTCTTCAAAGACCCTTTGTCCAAATACGGCTACATTCTGAGGTCCTGGGGTCAGGGCTTCAGCACAGGGATGTTAGAGGCCACACGCTGGCCGGTCACACAGGTCTGGCCCGGGTGGGTGCCACGGGCGGCCGGGTGGCGCCACCTGAGGGTTAGGCAGGGGGAGGTGAGCAGGGGTTTGGATTTCAGGTTCAGCATTAAGAGAACTACTGGAGAGTTTAAGGAGGGCGCAACGCAAACAGTAAGTGCTTTGGGAAGATTTCTGGGTGGAGTGAGCTACAGTGGGGGAGGGGGGCCGGGCAGCCGATCAGAAGCTTGGAACTAGTTAGTCCAGGAGAGGGTGGAGGCCCAGAGCAGAGCTGGAGGTGTGCACCTGGAGGAAGTGGTCGGATCTGGGAATACCTCGAAGGTAGAGCTGGAGGGACTCAGCGATGACTGGCTGAAGAACACGCATAATCTAGGACTCAGGGTGGACCTGGAGTTGTTGGGCCTGAAAACAAGGCAGGTGACAGGCCTGAGAGATGAGAAGTGGAGGCTCGGGGGTGGGGGGAGTGGGCTGGGGGAGGTGGCCTCACAGTCTGTGCCCATTAGACATCTGAACGGAGAGGTGGGCAGTTCAGTGTGGAGTTCTGGGGCGAGATCCAGGGCAGGGACGCCCATAGAGACTGTCGGAGCTGAGGGACTGGACGGGCCCATGGGTGGGCAGAGAAGAGGGCTGAGGCCTGGGCTCTGGGCTCTGCAGCATCTGCTCCTCGGCTGGCGGAGCAGGGCCAGCAGACGGGGCGAAGAAGGAGCAGCCCCTGCGGTTTGCAGTCAGCCGAGTGGGTGCCCCTGGGCTGCTGGGGCTGGGAGTAGTGGCGAGAAAGGCTGAAGACAGAAGAGCAGGGAAGAGAATAGAGATGATGAAGTCACTGGGGTGTAACGAGTCGGAGAAGGGATTTCATCACTGAAGTTGTTTTATCAGTCGGGATGATCTCATATTAAGGGAGACATTGATGATGCCATAACAAAAGAAAATATTTACGGGAGAAAAATCCTAAAGGAGCCGAGAAGGGATGAGGTCCAGCGATGAGGGCACCACAGAGCAGGTGGAGGGTGCCGGGAGGACGCAGAGGTGCTGCTGAGGGCACCGCGTAGGAGAGAGGCGAGGCGAGGGTGGGTGTGGGCGAGAAAATGGCCAGGAACAGTGGCGTGGGATGTGGTCAGCGGGACAGAGAATAGCATGCCGAGGTCCCAGTGGATGGAGGGGTGAGACCAGGTGGCTTTGAAGGGCTGGGGGTTTTGCGGCAGGAAGGAGAGAGGGTTTTGAATAAACAGCCCGAGCTCAGGTAGATGGAGTGTGGGGGCAGGCGGGGATATCTTCAGGGCGGAGCCCAGTGTCAGAGCAGGAAGGTGGGGATGACCAGTCCAGAGGGCCCAGTGGAGGGGACGGGGGCGTGGAGCGTGGCTGGGGGGAGGCAGGGACATTAGAGCGTGTGCAGGCCCCCAGGCTGGACTCCTGAAGCCGCGCCCCTGGGAGGAGGCCGGGGGGAGAAGTGGAGGGCACCAGGGTTGAGTGGTGGGCACTCTGGCCCCTGCCTCCCCTTCTAGCCTCTCCTCAAGGAGCCTGAGTGTTCTAACAAGTTTGGACTTTAGTAAGTGACAAGGGCCTGGGTGAGTGGCAGAGGTAAGGAACTGGGGTTCAGGAGTTTGGGAGATGGAGTCAGCTCTGAAGTGACCCTGGGAAGGGGAGAACAGTAGGCGAGGAGACCCTGGGCCCCCGTCGGATGGGCTGGAGTGTGGGGTCCCTGGAGAGGTGACCCTGGTGGGCGTGGGGACGGGAGGGGTGGAGCTGCAGGGCAGGCAGTCTGAAGGCCACTGAATGGGCCTCCTCCCCCCACAGCCAAGGCCCAGGAGGTCCTGCAGGCCATCCGGGGCTACGTGCGCTTCTTCTTCGGCTGCCGAGACTGTGCCGCCCACTTCGAGCAGATGGCTGCCGCCTCCATGCACCGGGTGGACAGTCGGGACAGAGCCGTGCTCTGGCTCTGGTCTAGCCACAACAAGGTCAACGCTCGCCTCGCAGGTAAGGAAGGGCCACCCAAGGCTGGAGTCTCCTGCAGAGGGGATGAGGTGGGGAACTTTGGAGTCTTGGACCAGAGTTAGGAGACAGGACTCTTGTCCCCCAGGTGACACCCCGTGTGTCACAGTGCACAGAGCCTTTCACACGCTGGGCCAGCTCTGCTGATGTATGTCAGTATCATTAGACCCATTTTCCAGATGAGGAAACTGAGGTTTTGACACCCTAAGACTGCTCTTCCGATGCTCTTCCAATTTTCCCCCTGCACCAGGGCCCCTCCCTCCGGCCTGTTGGGGTCCCTTTCCCGTCTCCCCTTTCTGCTTTCTGGCTATTACCCCCTTACTCAAACCAACAGGAAGGAGCGAGCTTTGCCACCCCCTGGGAGGGGCCAACAATAAAGTGTGCTGGAAAAGCCAGACCAGGTTCCTCCTGGAAAGGACAAGGCTGATCCCACAGAGGGCGGCCTGGTCTCCTGAGCCCTGCATCGACGTGTTTCTGTCCCCAGGCACAGGAGTCCATGGGTCCAGCAGGCAAAAGCACTCAACTCGGGTGGCCAGAGCTGGCGGGTGGGGAGGGAGCATCTGTGGACGGGAGCCTGGGCTTGTCTGCGGGGAGGGAGGGGAGAGGAGCATGCGTGGCTGGGGTAGACCTCCCAGGGGTGGGAGGAGGGGGCCAGGGCCGGCGGGAGGTTAAAGGAGCTGAACCGAGCAGGTGGTGGTGCAGGCCGCTGGCTTGGTCTCCGTCTCCTGGGGCCTCCTGGTGGACTTTGAAAAGAAGGCACGTGCCTGTCTCTCCTCCCACCCCTCCCCTCCCTGCCCACCCCTGCCACCAAATGCTCCATCTGACCCTCCAGCCCTATGACCTCTGCAGGCTTCCAGCTTCCCTTGGGGCCCAGCTGCCCCTGGTGGGCCAGGAGCTGGAGGGCCGGGAGCCAGAGCCTCTCTCTGAGGCACCTCGGGAGCAGCACCTCCCTTGTCTGGTGGGGTCCTTTCAGATCAAACTAATCATAGTGATGGGAGGTACAAGCTGAGCGCTGGCTGTGTAAGGCCCGCCCATGTTACCCCCGCCCCAAAGCAGCCCTCCACTCCTGCGTCATTTGCTGCTGCTCTGTTCTGCCACCTGTCTTTGCTGTTGAGCCCATTAGGAGAGGCGCCTCCCCACAAGATGGGCTGGTTGGCATCCTGGCGGCCCTGAGCCGGGCTGTGGCAGGCCCCTGGGGCTCAGCCTGGGTTCCGCCCACAGTCCTGGCTTTGCTTGGGGTCCCAGCAGCCTGGTGGGCAGGGCAACTTCCTAACTCTCCCGAGTGTCCTTTCCCATGCAGGGCCCAGGCCTCCCCACACCCACCCCTTGGAGCCCAGCTCGGGAGGAACCTCCACCCATTCTTGCCCACCCCAAAGGGCTGGTGTGGAACTACCTGTGGAATTATCGTGTGCCACAAACTCTTGTTTTAAAAACATATTTCCTTTAATTACAAAAGTAACATATCCCCACTGTATAAAACTTGGAAAATTTCAGAAAAAGGCAAAGAAGACAAATACTAGCAGACCAGCCAAAGCCTGCAGGGCAGGTTCTTCGGGTCTGGTCCAGGGGCAGAAGCCAGCAGAGTCTGCAGACGGAGACAGTGGGTTAATGTGGGGAGGTGACCAGAAGGGAGCTGTTCGCACTCCCCTGGGAAACTGGAGTGCTGGTGGGGACCGGGGAGGCCCTCTTCACCCAAGAGGCACATGCTGGGCTCTGTGGGCAGGCCCTGTGCTAGCTAGATTGTTGGCTGCCTCCTCTCCCACCCATGCTTTTCAAGGTGAACCCTTTCTGCAGATGGGAAGCTGGCATTCCCAACGGAAGAGGTCTGGGCTTGTGGGCGGGCCCCGTGTCCCAGCCAACCTGTGTGTGCTTCTCTCCCCAGGGGCCCCCAGCGAGGACCCCCAGTTCCCCAAGGTGCAGTGGCCGCCCCGTGAACTCTGTTCCTCCTGCCACAATGAACTCCGGGGAACGCCCGTGTGGGACCTGGGCAACATCCTCAGCTTCTTCAAGACACACTTCTCCCGGAACAACATCATCACGGACCTTCCTTCAGCTGGACTGGGCCCCTGGAGGGGTGCACAGAGGATGGCAGCGACCCCCAAGCCGGAGCTGATGGCCAGAAATTCTACGCTGGGCCCTGAGGAGGCTGAGATCATGGTGGGCCCAGGGACTATGGTCCTGGATGTCTTAGCAGAGAGACTTGGGGCACGTCACCCCCCGGAGATGCAGGCGGGCCTCGGTGTGGCCAGAGCTGAGCTAGACCAGGGAGCTCCTGAGCACATAGCAGAGCTTCAGGGGGATAAGGTGGAGCAGCCCTCGATCGAGCGAGACTCGGGCGTCGGATTTCTGTCTGAGCTCCAGCCCGAGAACCTTCCCAGCGGCCCCTCGGAGCTGAGACGCGTGGGCCGCAGCTCCAAGCAGCTGGCCAGTGTCCCTGACTGGGAGCCGGAAGCTGGGGCCATGCGGGGCCAAGGCCAGTGGCTGCAGGTGCTGGAAGGGGACTTCTCCCACCTGGACATCAGCCTCTGTGTGGTGCTCTACTCCCTGTCCTTCATGGGCCTGCTGGCCATGTACACCTACTTCCGGGCCCGGATGAGGGTCCTGAAGGGCCATGCTAGCCACCCCACCGCCTGACCCGTCCAGCCTGGGAGGGGGCAGAAAAGGGAGCTGCTAGCCGAGGGGCTCTTCCAGCCCCCTGCCCCCCTCTCCCCCCTTGCTCCTTGTCCAGGGAAACCCAGGAAAACCAGTGGCTCCAGCGAGCCCTCCTTGGTTATTGTGGGAAGGACTGTCCCAGAGCCATGAGACGTGTACAGGGTCCAGGCCCCTCAGACAGCACGGGCCGGCGGGCAGCCCTGCGCCGCGGAGGCAGGCAGCTCTGTCCCTGGCTCAGCACAGACTCCTCTCTTTCAGCTCGTTTGAAGTCCTGCCTCACTCTCGCTGATGCTTCAGTGTCTCCTGCTTGGTCTTGGCCCTAAATTGGGGCAAATGAGCTCCGGTTTCCAAGCTTCCCATCAGAGGAGGGTCCCGGGCTGAGCGGGCCGCAGCAGAACTCGCTGCATCCAGGGCCTCTGCACAGAGAAGGGGCAGCTGCCTCTGGCCGCGGGCCGCTGGCCTCCAGCCCCTCAGACCTCCCGGCTGGGGAGGCTTTACCGTAGGGGCTAGAAGCTTGTGGAAGCCATGCTGACCTCCCAGGTGACATTTGTGGGGGGAGTGCCCCGGGCTGGTCCTTCCCAAACCTCTGCTACAGGCTGGGGTCAGTGGGGGCTTGCTCAGCTGGGTGGGTGATGGGCACTGGGCTGGGGGGTGAGTAGCTGGCTTAGCAGGGATGTGGGGACCGAGGGTGCCTTGCGGGGCCTGGCAGGGAGGGGAGAGGGAGGGGCCGCAGGAAAGGTGGTCGCTTCAGGTGCGCTTTGGGTCTTCCCCAGGGGCTCGCCCGTCTGGGAGCTGGGTCTCTGTCTGCTGATTTTGGTCTCTGAGCCTGGAGGGTGCTGGAGTGAGGGGGTGTCATCTCTCTGGGGTCCATGCCCCGTCCTGAGAGGGGGAAGGGTCAGAGGCGCCAGTGATGCTGTACATACACACGCTTCATTTTCACTCTGCCCACTGCTGGGGAGGGCTGTGGAATAAATTATTTTTGTTAAGGCAAGCACCCGTGTGTCCTTTACCTTGCTGCTGGGAGACCTCGTGTGCAGGTCTGGACAGAATGTGCACAACCCTGCCGTGAGGGTACAGCCAGACGTGATGTCCCCTGGCTCACAGAGCTCCTGCCAGCAGGGGGCAAGGTGCCCCAGTCACAGCCCCTTTCTCCTGGAGGGGCCCTCCCCGGCTGCCCACAGAGCTCTGGCCCCGGGGCCCCAGGCAGGCCCCGTGGAAGTGCAGCCCCGGCTCCTCCTGCTCCCCCACCGCTCCCCCCACCTGCCTGGCCCTCCTCCTCCAGGCAGCCTGCATCTCCAGCTCCCTGGGAAGGAGAGGGCTTGTTTGTGAGGGGCCCTGGCCGTCTGCTCAGCAGGGAGGAGTCAGCCAGATTAGAGGGCCTGCCCCTAACTGCCCCTAATCTGGCTGCTGGGCTACCAGGATCCGAGCCGCTGATAATGAACCTCATTAAGGGGGAGCAGGAGCCTCAATCCGATTTGGGGTTTTCTCTTTGACATCACTCTGCTCAGATGGTCTGGCTCTGGATGGAGGGGGTGGGGTGCCAAGCATATCCCCTCTGCTAGGGCAGCTGGGATGGGGGATGGGGGACAGTAGGGGTCAGACCCCTCCCCCAGCTTGTGTCAGCTCTGTCACCTCCGGTGGATCCCAGCCTGGAGCTGCTCTGCCGCCCTCTCGTCTCTCCGAGGGTCCCTGTCTGTCCCTGCTCTAGTCACCACCTGTCCACTCCATCCTCCTGGGCCAGTTCTCATCTCCCCTGCCCCACAGGCCTGGCTGGCAGGCCAAGGCATGACCCACGGGCACACCTGTTCCCCCACCACCTGGTGCCCGACACAATGCCGAGTGCAGAGGATTTCCGTCGCCAGCTCTCAGAGCTCCAGTGATCGCATTTTCTAAAACCAAGCTCAGGTATTCAGAGTTAGGGCCCAGCCGTGGGGGTGGCCTCCCTCCAGCCTCGGCTGCCACCGCATCTTTTTCCCTGTCCCAGCCCCTCTGATTGATAAACAAGGGCTGGGCCTCCTGCCTCGCAGGACTGCTGCCTTTCACCTTGATTTCCCCAGGGCTCTGCAGCATCCAGCATCGATAAACCGGCTTCACCCACCAGCTGGTCCCTCCCCTGCCCGGTCTGCCAGGCCCGGGGCTGGGGCTTCTGTGGCTTGAACACCGCCGGCCACGTCCATCTAGGTTCTCTGCACCTTGGGAGAGCCCCTCGCAGGAGGGGGTCCTCGGGGGAGCCCCGCACAGCAAGGCTCCTTGGGAGAGCCCCTCGCAGGAGAGGGTCCTCGGGGAAGCCCCGCACAGCAAGTCTCCTTGGGAGAGCCCCTCGCAGGAGGGGGTCCTCGGGGGAGCCCCGCACAGCAAGGCTCCTTGGGAGAGCCCCTCGCAGGAGGGGGTCCTCGGGGGAGCCCCGCACAGCAAGGCTCCTTGGGAGAGCCCCTCGCAGGAGGGGGTCCTCGGGGGAGCCCCGCACAGCAAGGCTCCTTGGGAGAGCCCCTCGCAGGAGGGGGTCCTCGGGGAAGCCCCGCACAGCAAGGCTCCTTGGGAGAGCCCCTCGCAGGAGGGGGTCCTCGGGGGAGCCCCGCACAGCAAGGCTCCTTGGGAGAGCCCCTCGCAGGAGAGGGTCCTCGGGGGAGCCCCGCACAGCAAGGCTCCTTGGGAGAGCCCCTCACAGGAGGGGGTCCTCGGGGAAGCCCCGCACAGCAAAGGTCTGGGGCCAGACAGACAAAGCTGCCCTGCCGGCTTGTTCCCTGCTGAGCACCAGGCCGGCGTCCTGGGCTGTGAAAGATGTTAGCAGGGACAATGAGGAGGAAAAGGGCATCACGGCACGTGCCACCGAGGCCAGCAAAGGAAAATAGTGAACACGAGAAACTCTGAGCAAAGAACTCTACACAATATTTAAAGGAGCTTTTCAAAGTCGTGGGGGCCCTAGAAGCCGGAATAAGCAGGGAGGAGAGATGGGACCCCTCCTGCCGTTCAGGAGCTCACACCCCAGAGGGAAAGGGAGGGAAAGGGGATTAGGGTAGGTGCTCCCAAGCAGAGACCAGCAGGGGCTGGGGCGGAGGGGGACTCCGCCCTGAGGGATGAGGAGCCACGACAGGGAGGGGCGTAAGGGTGTCACGGGCACGGGGGGGGGGGGGGGGGGTCACGTCCCTGAGGGGTGCCTGCATTCACAAGCCACCTCCAGGCTGACATCCCAGACAGGTGGCCACTTTTGGCCTGGCTCTTCCCCAACAGCCCTGGCGCAGGGTGGGGCTGGGGGTGCGCAGGTGCAGCCCATCCTTGGGGTGTGGGGTGAGGGGTGGGCTCCAGGGAACCCACACAGCCTTGGCCCTGGAGGGAGGTCCCAGCAGTCCGAGGAGGAGGACACCTGAGTCATGCCCTGGTCGCCCACTCAGCTGCTGGTTCTAACACCAGGTGCACCATTAACCTCTTGGGCCTGTGTCCTCATCTGCAAGAGGAAGACACAGCCGGCTCCACGGTCCCTAAGACGGCTCCACGGTCCCTAAGGTGGCTTTACCTCTCTTACTGTGACACCAGCTGCTTCACTGTCCGCCCCCCGGGGAGAGGGGGGGTGCCTCCAGGGCCTTCCAGAAAAGACTACTGACTGAGGGCGATCCCCACCTATGTGACCCTGTCCCATGGAACAGCTGCGACAGGACAGTGGAGGCTCACTCAGGCTGCAGCCCCAGCGAGGGCCCCCGAGGCCCGCGCCCCAGCACGGCCTGGTTCTCCCCCCGGGTCCCAGGGACGCTGCAGGGTGACCACCCCTTCCCTGGCATCTCCCCTCCCTTTCTCCTTTCTTTTCAGGGCCAACCTCCTTGGGGACAAAGGCTGACCTCCACGCACGCACTGCTTTAAGGACTACACCAAGCAATTTCTTTTTTTTTTTTTAATCCTCACCTGAGGACATTTTTGCATTTATCTTCAGATAGAGCGGGAGGGAAGAAGGAAGAAACATCGATGTGAGAGAGACACATAGACTGGCTGCCACCCACAGGACCCCGACCGGTGCCGGGGACAAACTGCAACCAAGGTACGTGCCCTTAGAAACAACTTGTGTCTCTCTGGTCTATGGGCCGACGCTCTAACCGCTGAGCCAAACCGGCCAGGGCAGCAATTTCATTTTTACTCGGAGCCCCCTTGTGCCTGGCTTGCCCCCTCCGTCCTGAATCTGTACCCCACACATCAGTGCAGGCTCTGGCTCCCGCTCTCCAGCCTGGCCCGCCTCTGACACATGCTTGCTCCTTCCCCTGCTGCCCTGGGGGACAGCCACACCCCGAGGAAATGGCTGTCCCTCTCACTCCTCCCAGTCCTGCTCTGGGCCTCTGGCTTCTGATCGGGCCCCAGCCGTGCAGAACCCCAGTTCCTGCAGCCGCGGAGACCGTGGAACAGGAGGTCTCTGCCTGGAGTGCAGCCCCCCAGCCAGTGGGGGCGTGGTGGCCTCCGGGAGGTTTAACATGGCACGAGGGCCGCTTTCTTCTGGAGGAGCCGTGGCCCAGAGAAAGGCCTTGGCCCCTCGGTGTAGCGATGGACAAGTCCAGCCAGAGAAACACCTGACACCTGCCAGCCCTGCCAGGGAGATCTCACCCCGGAATCCAAACAGATGCTCCTCAGTCATCCTCAAGGACCCCCAGGGCCAGTCCCCATGGACTGTCCCTCAGCTTTACCTCCTCATGGCCGAGGCCCCCACCTTTGCCTTGTGACCTCGGGACCCCCTCCTCCCTGTCCCCCGCGTGCAGGGTGAGAGCTGGAGGCAGGCTGCCGAGGAGGTGAGCGAGCGCCGGACCGGCAGCCCTGTGCAGCCCCCAGGTGGATGAACCGACAAAGGAAAGAAAATGTTGTCAAGCTAACGAAGGGAAGTCTGGGAGGATGTCCTGGCCACACGGCCGTGGGATGGCACTGCTCACACACCCGGCGTGCACGGACGTGAGCGTGAAGAGCTGCTGTTCCCGGAGGGCCCCACGGCCAGGGAGCAGGGGCGGGGGTAGTCACAGCATCTCGGACAGCAGCCCTGTGGGGAGGCCTGGCGGGAGGCTGTCCCCCGGGGCTCGGGCAGGGACAGGGCTGTCCGGTCGGGCCAGCCGCCAGCCTCCCCCAGCCCAGGGAGAGGACCTCCGGCTCCGACACCAGTGTCCTTCATCCGCACCAGCCTGCAGCGTGTGTGGGAAAACGGCAAGTGACCCTGACAAGTTCCAATTTTCACCCTCCAGGAGCAACTCCCCACGGGCCTCTTGGGAGCGACACGTGTGAAATGCCGCCTTCATGGTGGATTACCAGCCACAGGAAGCTGTCACCTCCAGGCGCTGGGGGGCGGGGGGCACGTTCCGCTTGTCCCTGGGAGAATTCCTTTCTGCGTCTGGCCTGCGGCCTGAGCGACACTGTCACCACTGTCCTGTTCCTGTGACCGAGAAGACGAATCGATGTTACATGTTTTTGGAGAAGGACTTGCTAACACCGCAGACTATCTGACTGCAACAGAGTGTCCTAGGGGGCGCTGGTCCTCGCACGTTGTCCCCTCCAGGCGAGAGTTTGGGTGGGCCTCTCTCGAGGGGCAGCGACATTCTGAGCAGAGTTGTGCGGAGTCTGGAAGGGGGACCCCCTGTGAGGAGTCCCATGACAGTTCGGGAATGGCCGAGGTACTCTGGGGGCCCAGCAGTCACCTCCTCCTCAGGCAGGGAAGAGCAGGGTTCCCCAGGATTAGCATGAGAGGCAGGGGTGAGGGGGAGGAAGGCAGAGTGAGTGGGCGGCCTGAGCAGGGGCTGCAGATCTCCCTGGGTGCCCGGACTGGACCCTGCAGGCAGGAGGGGCTGGGGGCTGTTCTCACGGGGGCACAGGCTCGGGTGTTTCTCAGCAAGTGCTCCTGCTGTGACAGGTCCAGGCCTGAGGGCAAGTTCTCGCCAGGACCATGGAAGGAGGACTTGTGGGTCCCTGGGGCTCAGGCTCTCCCAGCCATGGACTTTGGTGTGTGCCCTCCCACCCAAACCCT